ACAGTACACAAGGATAATGTTGTCCATGTGCGCAAGGCAGTCATCTGCAACGTGTCTGCCTGGCAGGGGCGTTATCTTCTCGTTGTGACAGCTGCCGACTTGTTCCATCATCCAAACATCAATCCAGTTCCGAACACATACATCAGGGAGACGGAAGACACGTCGGTGGCTGAGGCTGCAACCAGGGCAAGCAGCCTTATTGACTGTATATCGGCAGCACTCGGCGTGATCACGGAGATCCCAGTGAGGGGGGTTCACCAAGGGGGTTCACGATGAGCGGAGGGGATTCATCCCTTTCCCTTGCAGCAGCATCACCGCAGCAGCAGCTGCAGCAGCAGCAGTCGGCGGCTCGGCATTAAGCAGCAGGGGTTGGGTTCGCAACGCGGCCACGTGGCAGGGCTGATTCAGCAGCAATAGCAGCTTGAGCAATTGCTGCTGCTGCTGCTTTGTGGATGGATTTGGTAAAGGATGGTCACGGTCTGGTAAGAGATGTCTCCGTTTCTATTGCAGGGAGGATGGTGATGATGACGACGATGCCGGGTGTAATTGTCGGCCTGGTCGGATCTGTACGTTCCACAGGCAAGGTTTTACAGCAGATGGAGGAGAGAGCGATGGTGATGTTTTATTGTCGGCGGGAACCCGGGATTCTCGAGAGATATACCACTCGAGATTAGACTCCAGAGTAGTGAGGGAGTGGTACCCGGACACGACCCAACTGGTGGTCCGCAAGGCGCCTGGGAAGTGTACCACGCAATCGTTGCAGGATGCTCCGATGTTAGAATTTGTTTTAATGTTTGTTTTAATGTTATTTCTACGTGACTTTACCGAAAAAAACAAAGAGTAATTCCTGCAGTCACGAAAGCACCAAATCAAGTTTAAGCAATGGTATTGGTGCACGGTGGTCCGCTCACATTTGTGAGGATTGACGGTGAGGTTGTCACTGGTCCCAAGGGGGGGAGCCAGGAGTATGGGACAACCTCTGCTCCAGTGTGGAGTCTGGGGGAGATGGAGCGAGGTAACTAGGTGGGACTGTGACATCGGACATCGTGAGAGCTGGAGGAGGCTTGGGGAGGGAGGACCTCAGGCAGCAGTGAATTGATCTTCACCTCGAGTTGGCCACGGATCACCCAAACAAACATGATTACTCAATTACACACGGCAGCATTACCCCCTGCTACGAGAACTTGGCAGGACTCTCCCGATTAAAGAGCATTGAGACTCGGAGATGCTTTCCTGTGTGAACATGGGTGGTATAAATACATGGCTGCGGATTCTAATCAAACGCGGTCATCTGTAGAGTCACAACACGGCCCACGTGCTTCGCTGTCGATACAATGTGCGGAGAACTCGTCTTAGACCGCTTCACCAATGTCAACGAAGGAGGGCAATCATTTGAAGGCGTGTGAGAGCATGTAGTTCATGAGGACGACGTTGAAATGACATTACTATTTTACCTTGGATCGGACAATGTAGGTCATCGTGCACGGCGCTGCTTATTCGCTCTGCTATTTACAATGTCCAGGCGCTTAATGCAACACCGGTTTAGAAATCATACAACGGATAGGGATGTCTCGATGGAGTCACGAAAGCTTCAAATGAAGATTGAATCTGAAGATGTTACCAACTATATTGTACACATCATCCATTATTATTTATTATTCTATTGCTCTAAGAGGGTTTTGGATCGTCGCCTTGAAGCCGCCCACCCTTAACCCCCCCAGACCCACTGCTAGCCCATGTCAGGTCTCAATGATCGTTACCTAAAATAAATAAAATGTTTCGCTCCGGATGACCGCTGCAAAGTATTATCTGTATTTTATTTAGTGGGCTGATCTTAAAGGTGCATTGAAAATGTTGATACTCCGATTGATGCTCCTGTTGTTGTGGAGTGGCTCATGCAGCCAGCTATGGCTCTAGGGTTTGGTGTTACATGTTGTTTATGTCGTTTATTGTGAAAATTCGGTCACAGTTCCTATGATCACTGTTACATTGCTTTTATGGCTTTATTTTGGTGATGTCGAAAACGTTTTTTGGTTTGGCCATGTTTGTTTGTTGTAGTACGGAGTTAGACTGATGGCCTTAATCTAAGTTGTCTTGTGGTTGTTGTTGTTTGACATGCATCCCACTGGGATTTTTGCACACAGCGTTGGTGTACGGTGCTTTTTTCAGGAATATTTTGCTGTTTTCATGGATTTTCTGTTTGCACAGTCACATAGTCACTTTAAGATGTTTTCTTGTTCATTTTGTTTGTTTGTTGCGGTTGCACCCGATTCAAGAGCCGAATGGCTCACAGGGCTATACCAAATAAATGAAACTGAAAACTGAAACCTGTCGGGCTCGCGGCTTCTCACAATGTTGAGGGCCTCACGGCCGTGCTGTGCAGATTCTCCCATTGTTATGAACAATAATACACTGCACACTTATCTGTTGCAATGTCTTACCAGCAGCTGCTGCCGATGGCTCAGATCACTAAGTCAGGGTGACATCCAAAAGTTGTGTCTGGTCTCACGGCCTTAGTAATAATATTTAGAACACGTGGATCCAAGCTAGGGGCTGCTCGAAATAATCACCCAAACAGATAGAGAGGCCTTTAGATGTTTCTTGAAAGTCAGAGTGAATTTGATGTTGCGGGTGTGCAAAGGGATGAGAGTTCCACACCGAGGGGGCGTCAGTGGAGAACCGACGTGAGGCTGTAACAGTTGGAGACACTGAGAGTGAAAGAGATGGTGGGGCCTGAAGAAGAAGGGGCTGAGAAAGGTAAAGGCGCAGAGCCGGAAGAACGAAGAGTGGGGCAACTTGGTTGTAGTGCTGCAAGTGCGGCCACATGCGAACTCGTCATTGTCTAACTACATCATGGGCTGTGAAGAAGGGCCATTGCCTGAAACGTTACCAATTGTATAGTTTTCTTTTAAGGCAGTGTTATTGACGAATGTATTGAGTTTTTGTTGTACGTATATTGTATTCTATGGTGAACGGTGAGGGAAAGTCTTTGCGATATGTTTAGCGTTGAGAGACCTTAACACGATATATTTAGCCGTCTCTGTCGGCCCCTGTGAAGCTTGTTACCTCGGAAAGGAGTCGAACTCATGGACCACCTTGGTCTCGTATCTCACAATCACCATCGTCAGCTTGAGAAGTATGTGCATGATTGCAGAGAAGAGGGTGAGCTGAGTGGCATGAAACAGATTGGGATGAGAAAGGCAGGTAGAGTATGCGCTTGGGCTGCCATGTGGCCAGGAGATGGCGGTAGAGCAATGGATTATTTAATCTGTCCGTGCGGAGTTTTGAGTGTTCCTCTTGTACGTGGTTTCTTAGTACGTGGCATGAATTATATTGGCCAGATATCACAGTGCAGTTACCTCCCGGAAACGTCTTGAGACGCAGTGAGGCTCTAATCATGGGTAACACGTACAACACCATCGTCAATCTACTGCTGGATAATGGCCTCAGCACGCACTGTGGATCGTGGGATTCATAGGACCTTACTTCACACTGGTCAGTGCGGATTGGTGAAGTCGGGGAGCATAGAAGTACTGTACAGTAATTTACCCAAAGTTTTTTTTTTGTTGCACTGCCCTCCGCAGCCAAATTCTGGGAAAATGGCATGATTGTCATGACGACAATGAGGAGGAGACGATCGACAGGGACCGTGGTGGCCCCGTATAATGGGCCCTGCTGGAGCAAGGTGTGCCAGCCCTGAGGCCCTGTCGGCCCTGAGTGGTGACGAGGGACCAATGGGCGGCCCTTGTCGGTGTGTGAGGGGGATTCTTGTGCGAGGAGACCCCTTGTATCAAGCACTCCGCTGGAGAGAGGGGCTCCTTCAGAGGAAACCCTTGTGTAAGTAGAATGCCGTGTGAGGGACCCCGTTGTTAACGACCCCGTTGTTAAGGACCCCGCTGTTAAGGACCCCGTTGTTAAGGACCCCGTTGTTAAGGACCCCATTGGAGCGAGAGGCTCTGTGTGAGAGGCACCCTTCTATTCTTGGTTCGTTCGGTAAATTTAGGCACCCTTCTCTGAGACCCATGTAGGAGACATCCTTTTTTGTAATGGACCCACTATTAAGGGCCCCATTCGAGTGAGCGAACTCGCGTGTGAAAGGGCCCTCGTGCGAGGTATCCCTCGTCTCATACCATATGCGATATACCTTTTGTGTTAAGAACAGCGTTGGACTGAGGGACCCCGTGTGAAGAGCGCCGGTGCGAGAGGGGGCCCCTTGCTCCCTCGTCTGCCTAGAACCCCCCTTTTCTGTTAGGGCCCCCCCTTTTCTGTTAGGGCCCCCCTTTTTTCCTGAGGAGTGGGGGGGGGGCTTTGCTCAGTGAGGGAGGGGGTCCCCCGTGTACGAGATACTATTTTTTACAACCATCTGACCGTCTCAATTTGGGTGGCTCTACATTTTTTCTGATGCCCCCCCTTTGTTATTTTCCATGATGTGTGTGTGTGGGGGGGGCCTCATAAGTGAGTGGAGGCTGAGGGGGGTCCCCGTTCGGACGGTCCCGCTCGCGCCGTGACGTCACGACGCGCGTGCGCGCTGCCGCCCGTCGGCCATGGCCGCCCCGCCGAGCGAGGTGAGTGGAGGCGGCGCGCCGCGTCCTCGCCCGCGCTCGCTTGCCGAGCCGCGGGCCCCCGCAGGGCCCCCGCGCCGAGGGGACCCCTCGCGAGGCCACAACCGAGCGCCGGACCCCCGCGGAAGGACCCCCCTCCTCTGGCAGTACCGGCGCAGGAGGAATGCGAAGGAAGCCCCCGCTCCGCCCTCCCGCTCCCTCTGCTCCAGGAGCGGATGGGGGCCCCGGACCCTGCGTGGGAGCGCGGGATGCGTGCGCGCGGGCGGGACGCGGCGGGTAATGCGGGTTGCGGGGCCCCGGCCTTGCGTGGTGGCCAGCACGTTCGGGCGCTGAGATGGAGCAGATCAAGATGTGGTAGTGGTTGTGCGTGGAGGAGGTGGCGGTGGAGTCGGTGATGGTGCAGGAGGTGGTTTTGGAGGAGGTGTTTGAGCAGTACGTGGTGTTTGTTGAGTTGGAGGTAGTGGTGATGGAGAAGATGGATGGTGGAGCTAAAAGATCGTGGCGGTTCTTTCTTTCTCCTGCTTCTCCGCAGCCACGCGTGGAGTTCCTCTCCGCTGGCAGTGCTGCTCAGTGGGACGGGAGTGGAGATGAGAGATAGAGGAATGTGAGGTCTTGAGTGCCTGCTTTGTGGAAGTTTTATCCAGGGGCAGCATTCGGCTTTGTCCTCCTCAGAGCCCCAGGAGGTCGCACTTCGCCGTTCTCAGTCTCCTGGGTGAAGATGTTCGAACTTTGGACTCGTGAATGGCTAGGGCATGTGCCAACGTTGATAGCAGATCTGTGCTTCTTTCATTTTCGTTGCCTTTGGTAAAAAAAAAAACGCGGTGGTTTGGTGATGATCTGGCAGTCTTTTTGCGGAATTGATCCAACCACAGACGGCTCAAGAAATCTAATGTTAATTAATAATCCATTGTGTGTTCATGCAGCTAGGGTCTCCTAAAGACGTAACCCTACGGCCAAGCACTCATGTTTGTGTTAAGCGCTTCACCTCGCGCTTTATTCAAACACTGCTGTTTGTTGCTGGCCGCTTGGCGTTTTGGGCCGTGTGGGCTTGTGTTCAACAACAGTAATGCAAGAAAAAGAGCGTTCAGCAGAGCACGTGAAGTTTGACTGATGAGGGGGGTTGCTGTGTTCCTGTGTTGCATGGTTAAGTGAGTTTATTTTCATGGTAGAAGTGACTCCATGTCAAAACATGCTGGAGGATAGTGAAGACCACACCACATTAAACTTAGCACCTTCGAAATCACCTCTGCCATGAAGGGTCATCGCCGAAATCGCCGCCTATAATTTAACTATAGGGCAGTGTTATGTGAAAATGTAAGTTTGTTGTCATTTGTGCACGTGCACTATTGTCCATGCAGTATCATAAACATGTGATTAAAATCAGCTTTGGTGAAAAAGTGAAGGTAGCTCTGGTAAATAGGATATCACTTGCTAATAATTATAGCTGTACTATTGAAGACATCTTCTGGTAAAGACAGCTCTGATAATTGAGGCAGCATTCTCTGGCGAAGGGTGAATTCTGGTGGTGATGGAAGTTTCTATTAAAACAACGATATGAGGCTTCTCCATCTTATATCGTTTGTAGTGATGACATGTGAGATTGTGAACACAGTACATTTTATTGAAGGAATTACAGTATTTAGTTGCAAGTTTCTTTTAGTAGTACCTGTTTTGTAGCAAAGGCAGCTCGGATTATATAAATAATGTTAAAACAAAAAGGCATTTGTCAATCCACTGCTTGATAAAGGCTTCCCATGCTATGTCCATTATGTTGGACGTTTGACCATACTTCATCTTGCTGGCGAGTACTGGTTTTGAAGGGGGGACCCCAGGACCTACTTAGATATGGCTCGCCATTGATGTTAGCTGGGCTGAGAATCGAACTTGGGTGGCCAGGTTCGTAGAGCAGCGTGCTAACAGGTAATTAAATACAAAAATGCTACATTTTAAACCTTCGTCAATCCACTGCTGGATGAAGGTCATATCGCACTGTCGATCATGATTGTTTTTCTATATTTCACCATGCTGCTGATTACAGGTTTAGTTTTAACTGACCAGTGACTTTAGTAAAATCAAACTGAATTCGTCACCTTGACAGCAAATTGTGTGCTCGCCACTGCGCCACCATTCAATTTGAATAGATAATTGCAGTGAAGCTGTCATTTTAAACTTAATTATCTGTTGACAATAAGACATCGTATTTAAGGAATAGTTTAGTTGTGAAAACAATTTAGTAGTGAAGGCATTGTCTGCATTTTACGACCAATCGTTGCAGTTCAACTCTGTGGGTAATATCTCATGCCAATTACATCTGGGAGCTGAGCAGCATTTGTTTAACAAGCCTGGCCGCTGATGATGAGATCCAGAATGTATAAACTGGACCAGAGTTTGCTTGCATGAACAATTTCTGCTGGATATTTGTCTGAAAAAAACAATCGGCTGATGGACTAAAGAGTGTGTGTGTGTGTAGACAATATAGTTCTTATATTTGCTGTTATTGTCGTGAAGGCATGGACAATTCGACGACCGGGCGTGCAGGCATTGTTTAGATTTTAAGACCAGTAATTGCAATGAAGGGTTTGTTTTATGGTTATTTGAGGAGGTGGGAATGCTAGCAGCTGACGGTAGTGAAGGCATGTCACGCGAGTTGGCCCATCATAGAGTTGGACGGAGTCACAGGTCCTCCGGTCGGTCCTGCCGTGACTCGGCAAACAAATAATCTCGTGGCGTCTTCTTGTCAGGCAGAACCATGGAAACCACGTGGCAGGACAGGTCTGAAGACCACTCTATCCACCCGAGGCTGCCTGCTCTGGGAGGAGGAGCCCTGTTTTTCTAACCGGAAAGCAAAGTCCCTTGAAAATGTCAGGAATGCCTGAGGAGATGTGGCAATTGAGGGCTCGTGCGAAACGGGTGATACTGTTCGGTCGGTCATCTACTTCCTTGTTTTCTCTTGTAAGAGCTGTACATGGTGTTGTTAAAGTACACTTTAGTGTACGTGGGCTGTTTGTCTAATGTCACTTTTTCTTCCTGCTGATAAGGACGTATTCTCTATGTTGTGGCGATCTCCGCTTCGTGGCCGTGCATGGACGGATGACTAGCATGGTTTGGATGTGCTGCACAAATGTACGCACAGCGCTTTTTATTAATACTGTACATATACACACACCTCAACTCGAAGCCCGTACTTGAGTACAAGGAACAAAGCAGTAGAGGGAGACACCTAATAAGATGGACTGATGTAACAAAGACAGGCGATGACATTGAACAAAATGTGTGCAAGGACGAAGCGATTTAACTGGCAAAAGAACAAAGGTGGAGAGATTTGATTTGGCCCCATTGTTACTCCGGAGCTGACACGAGGGAGGAGAACGCAGGCCCGACATTTGAGCGTTCTCTAGAAGTGCTGTCTTGCGTCAGTCATCCCCCACATGCCGTCGTGTGCTTGGATTGAGTGTCCAGTTTAATTTCGCTAACATACGTGCTGGCAACATCGGGACAGGTCAGTGTAATGTAAGTGATGTTACAATGTTAAAGTTATTGGTCAACAAAACGTCCGGCTGTTGATGTGCACACGCCCTGCAAGACCTCTAGCAGGCAAGTCACAATCGTGGCTATTCATAGGTTGGCGTCGAGTGTGCCATTCCTGCCTTTTGTTGTGCTCATAAAAGGGCTTTTTTTTGGTGGAATCCTTGCAAAAAAACGACAACAAAAGCCGAGCGTTTTGCCTATAATTCCGAATGTCAGCCTCGAAAAGATTTACAGGTCTTTGCCCGAACGAGACGTGGTGGTTGGTTTTCCCGAGTCGGGTGGGACTCGTATTTTGAAATCGGCCCTTGGCCTAAACGAAAGAGCGGTAGCGGCGTGTCAGCTGATCCGGTGGAATGAGCGGCGGCGGTGGCGGCAGCCATCTTGGGCTTGTGCAAGCTTCACGTGTTCGGGATGAGAGGGGGCTGCAGGTAGCGGTGGCGCGCGCGCGCGTGCCCCGGTGTACGCACGCACGCGCGTGCACTCGGCCCACAGGCGTCCTCGTGGCACGCGCTCTGCGTGCAATTGGTTCCTGTCCTTGGTTGTCTGCTGGGAAGTGTCGAGTACAGTAATGGCCTGGAGGTGTGATGAGCACTCTTCAAAGGTTGTGTGTGGAGGCTCACACACAGCAACCTCTGGCTCCTTTAATGTGAAGCAACCTTCATATAGCCCCAGCATGCCAGCCAAAGCCAGGCCCACTGTTTTTGAGAGAGTGCTATCGTAGGTATTTGAAAAGTACTGTACTCTCTTGGCTTCCTTTTTGGCTAACTGCAGAACATCTGCCCTGCTGGCAGTCTCTTTGCAATCAATGTATCTTGCAAAACCTGCTGGGAAAAAGGTGGGGTTAGCAGTGTCTATAGCTGCCAGTTGTGGGTTGTACGTCTGTGCTGTTTGCATCGAAGAGGTAAACCTCTTGGTCTGCAATTGATAATGGTTCCGGGAGTTATTTTACTTGGCAGATGAATAGCTGCCAAAAATACAATTTGCTTGCAATGCTCAGGTTAATTTGTTCTCTGAGTGGAAAAGCAGAAAGTTGGCTTTTAGACTTTGAGATCAAATGTATTTTTTTCCACCCTTGCAAGATCTCTCGAAGACCAGCAAGTAGGAAAGCGTTTTGCGTTTTAATTGATGGCGAGTATTTGGAATAAACATCTGTTTGTCGTTCATCTTTCAAATCGCTTTACACCTAATTGCTATGTCCAAAGGCGTGCGACGTTTCCGATTTAAAACCGTTTCACATGTTGCTGGCGTTCGACAGTTGTTGCCTATGACCCTTGCCAATCGCGCTTTGTGAAATGTACACTTAAGTTTCAAAAGTGCACCGTATTGCAGCGGCTGGCTGGTGAAACGATTTGCTTTTAGAAGTGAGGTCATTACTTTTGTCCCTTTTGGAACAACGCATAAAAACGGGAAATTCCTCCGATGTTTTTGGCCCTTGTCTTGGTCTGCTGGGAAGAAGATATGGACATTGACCTGTAGTAGTTCCCACAGTCTGTTTCATCTGTTGACAGATGCCCATCTACACACACGCATGAGTTCCTACTCACACTACAATGGTTTCCAATAATATAAGTGCAGTAAGTAACAATAATGGCAATTCAAGCCATTTTGTTTTTCATATTTGGTGAGATAGATATATTTTATGCAAGCGTTATTTCAACCCTTTGTTAATCCACTGATGGTTGAAGGCCAGTTTTGGCCATACCTCACCATACTGGTCGTTGCAGGTTGTTGAAGGTTAGGCTCAGGTTAAGGCAATTCACCACTCCTGTTGTGGCTGGGAATGGAAGTATGGTCGTTGGGTTAACGGCTCAACCACTGCACCACCGTCGCTCAATTAAAATGTGGCTCTACGCATTTGAATGTTTGGCTTCGTGAGAACGTTTTTGGTCTGATTTTATATTTTCGTTGTTGCTGTACAGGTTGATAAGGAGGTGGAATCCCAGGTAACTGTGGCTGGACGCGACTGCAACAAGGTTGCGGATGATATGCAAGGTATGCAGCATGTGTAGTTGCTGCCAGGCTCGCAAATGTGTTAATTCGGCAATTGTCTTTTAAATTATGCTGCTTGTAATGTCCGAGAAACCTTCACATATGTTCTACAGATTGTCAACAAAGTCCCAATACAGTTTACACGATATGCCTAATGCTGTATATTCCATTATTTTCACTGCAGAGCTGAATATTACCCCTAATCCTTCAATATTTGTCCAGTCCTCTTTTACACACCACAGCCGGGGCAAAAAGTCTAAAGTTATTTCCTGATCAAATTAACATTGAGATGGTGCTAATCTCCCGTTAGACAGCCCTGGGCCAGTGGTGAAAATTCCCCATTTTAGAGCAGGGATGATTCTATCCGTAGGACAACCAAAGCTGACTTCCCTACATAGTGATACCTATTTGATTGACTCTGGAGGAATGATGGGCTGAATGAACCCCCAAACGAGGATTTGAACTCCAACTTTACGATTGGGGGCTTCGCGATGGACCGCTGAGCCACATGTGTCTGTCTTGCTTGGTTTATTTAGGTACTCGGCAACCTAGAAAGACAATGAAATGTAATGTCAGAAGATTCAGAATCATAAATGCATTTCCCGAGTAAAGCCCATTGACCTAAGAAGCTGTTTTTCAATGATGGCTCGGTCGGCAGACAACATCAACGCATTCCACGATGATGTCGACTTGTATTTCACAGTGTATTGATACTTGGTGAACACTGTAGAGTGAGAGAGCCGGGTAACATCCAGGGTTAGAATGCAGGATTCACCCGCCCAGGGATGAATGAGGTTCCTAAGTGCAGCGAGTTGATCTCGGCCTCATCACTAATGCATGCTTTTAAGTTAGTGTTTTCAATTTGTTTCTGCTTAATACACCTGTCTTCCACTTGACCAACCAGCACTGACCAGTGTGGTGAAGTATGGTCAAGCAACCTGCACGACCAACACTTTGCGGGGAGGCCTTCATTCAGTGGAGGATTGACAAATGGCTTAAACTTATAATTATGAATGTAGCTCATGACAATTAAAATTTTGCATTAATATACATGATGAATGCACATTTCAGAGTATAGTAAAGGTTTGTCCCGAGTGTGCATTAAGAGGCAAGTGAAGTGATTTCAGACAGTTCTGCTACTTCATCCTCTCGGGCTGTTCTTCAACATGGAGGTGCACTTTGCTAGAATCGTTTTAAATGGATGCTTTTCCATCTCGCAATATGATTGCAGTACCACATGTCGGGCAGCAGTGGGCAGTGCAGCAGCATCCATTGTTTGACAATACTTTTATGGTCCCATTTCTGTTCCCCACCTTGACCAACCTGCAGTGACCAGCATGGTTAACTAATCCCCCCGTCCTGCATGGCAAGGCTAGGCCCTCATTTAATCGTGGATTGATATTATATCTTTACCTTGTATTTCCACTGCTACAAATACGTGTCATACCACAACGTTCTGTCTTCACCACTTTGGCCTGTCTTTACTACTTTTATGTGCTTTAACTTGCAAATTGCTCCTTCACGACAAACGATCGTGCCTAGCTACTGAGATGCCTTATTTTTTAGAGTCGTTTTAATAGGAGCACACGTAATGATGGTGGCACATTTTGAATGTAATCAGATAAATATTCTTGCAGCTCCTCTTTCAGGTTTTTTTATATATTTATGTTGGGCTGTCCCCCCTTACCATACCTTTTGACAACAGGAGGTGACTCCGGACTCCTCGACAGGCAATTGACCGAGTTCGAGACCACCATCAAAGGTTATGATCGTCTGCCCAAAGTGAGGGCCAGCAACGCTGACGGACTTAACGACGCCAGCGAAGCTAGGCCTTGCAACCCTCTTGTAGAGAGGCCCGAGAAGGCGACTGAGCTTCCATCACCAGTCAAAGTGGAAGCCGTCCCCTCGCAGGGGTCGCCTGCCGGTGACGTGACGCCAAAGGGGGCCTCTGTGTCGGTCGAGTCGCCCGCTCGGGGCAACGTCCCTCTGCGCCTTCCTATCAGTATCATCCCCGGCCACGCGGCCAAATCCCTAAGTGGTGTTTCCAACCGTGCGAAGATGTCTCTGTTCATCATGAAGCCTACAGGTGAGTGGCAGGAGGTGCGGTCTGTGCAGGTGGTGCAGGAGGTGCGGTCTGTGCAGGTGGTGCTTCAGGAAATAGGACGCAGTATCAGAGGTTTGGGTTGAGCTGCAGCTGAGTTAAGACATTTCCTGATTGACCGACAAGCGAGTAATTTCAGTACTCCTTAAGTCTCGATGAAATTAACACAGGTAGCAGTCTGTCATTCTCCGGTATTGAGAGAGGTGAACGAATGCATGTGATATCAAGCTGATGAAAAAAAAGAGACGTACCACTCTAAATTCAAGCCAGGATTAATAATTACTCCAAGATTCCACACCTTAGAGAAAGAACTGATTTAAAGTCAGTCAGTCATCATACTGAAGTCATACACTTGATGAAGAAAGTTGGGAGAACCCAGCAGCATGATCTCGGTCTTGTCAGAGTTATGCTTCAAGAAATGAATGTTCATTGTCTTCTTGACCTCAGAGAAACAATGTGACAGCACTTAAATAGCAGCATTGGTGCCAGGCTGGGTCTGCCAATAAGTTTTGAGTATCATCCCCATAAAGTGATCATTTAAACCATAGTGACAACATATGATGCCAAGAGGCAGCACATAGGATGGTGAACAGCAAAGGCCCTAGAATAGATTTCTAGGGGACACCGGTGGCCAGCGGGTGGATGGATAGCCACGCATCGAGACGCACCGCCTACGATGGGTCAGATATAAACCAAGCCAGGAAAGAGCTGCACTAGTGATGACAGCCAGGGTCTCAAGGCGGTTTATCAGAATGGGATGATCAATTGTATCGAACACTGCAATAATCCAGCAGCACCAGGACCGAGAGTGAGCCGGGGTCAGCAGCCATGAGATTATCATTTACAAACACGTGCTGTTTCGGTTCTGTGCATTAGCTTGGAAGCAGATTGAAATGGCTTGAAAAGATCATAGTTTGTAAGATGATCCTGAATCTGCTGAACTACCAGAAACTCCAAGATTTAAGAGAGAAACAGGAGGTGTGAAATCGACTTATAATGAGGCATTAATTCAGAGTCAATTTTTGGATTCTTTAACAATGGTCTCACCGATTCCAGTTAAGTGATGTTGCCATTATGCAGTGCCAAGAGATTTGTTATCAACTTTGGAAGTAACCAACGGACTAAGAATATGGAAGATCGAGTTAACCAGAGAAGAGGGTATTGGTTGATGAACACGATGGGTTTAAGTTTAGAAACAAGATCAATGAGCTGAGACAGAAATGGAGATGTGAAAAGATTCAATGCACAACCTAGGAAATGCAGGTTGAAGTCAACCATGGCTCAGCAATAACAGAACAATCAATATTCCTAATACCATCGATCTCGGACTTAAATTATCCCAAGAAACACATTACATTGGGCTGTAGGATCATTGAGGTTGACAATAGTAGATGGTTTCAGCATCTGCTCAAGGGTTGAAAAGGGAGTACCAGGGTTGCCAACACCATTCCTGATGAGATTGGAATAACATTTCGATTTAAAGCTTTCGTGACTGCAAGGATTAATCTTCTTTGGTTCTTTTGGTATTATTTTATTCTCATTCTACGTGACTTTACCGAAAGAACCAAAGAAGATTGGAATAACATGTTGATCTGGCCTAGTTGAATGCATCCATATTGTTGGTTTGATGATTCTGCTAGATCTGGAGATGTTCCTCAGGGTGAGTATCCCTCTATATTCTTCTTTTGGGTTCTTTCGGTAAAGTCATGTAGAATGTAGATGTAAAAATAATAACAAAATAAAATTCTCACGACGTTTCGGCCACAACACAAGTAGCCTTCCTCAGGTGAAGAAACAGGACTGTCCGGAAGACAGCGTTTGAGTGAACCCTGCCAAGCTTGGCAGCGTCTTTTAAACTGTGTGGGAGGAACAGAGCGCCTTGACAAAGGAGTTAACATATACATTGGCATGTAACTGGGGGATTAGCATGATGTTGGTGTGAGGGATTAGCACCACAGAGAGCGACGAGCTTTGTTCAGACGGACGAGTCCATCTATATTCGGAACGGAGGAGAGGGGAGAGGAGTTTACATAACAGTAAATTAGCATGTAACTGGGGGATTCGCATGATGTTAGTATGAGGGATTAACACCACGGAGAGCGACGAGCTTTGTTCAGACGGACGAGTCCATCTATAAAGAATTAAAGCTTTCGTGACTGCATAAATTACTCATTGTTTTTTTCGGTAAAGTCACATATGTGACTTTATCCTCCTGCCCCCACCTCTACTACTTATTTTAAGCCTCTGTCTGTTCATCCCTCTGGCCCCTTTTTTTCTTCTCTGTCCGTCTTTCATCTTCTTACCTCTTGTGTCCCTGTATATGTATTTCTGCTATCTTATACCTCGTATTTGTTCACTCTGTCTATGCTGGTATGTTCAACCCAGAGGATGAACACGAAATTTAGCGCTCTTATGAAATTCGTGGTCTGCCAGGCAAGTGTCTTAACTGTGTCGTTGGCCGACTGGTTTTGCATCACGTAAATTTTTCTCAGGTTTGTTGAATTCTCGTCTCTCATCTTCTTGTTGTATTTACCTCCGTGCAGTTTAATGCTCTCTATATATTGCGTTGATGTCACCCTATGTGCTATTTGTTTTTTACACCTGATGAAGATCGCTTGTGTTGCGGTCGAAACGTCGTGATTGATTTATTTTATTTTCATATAATTTTATGGTATTTCTACATACTTGACTTTACCGAAAAAACCAATGAGTCCATCTATGTTCAGAACGGAGGAGGGGGGGGGAAGAGGAGGAAACAGCCAAGGTGCGCTGCTCTGTCCTGTGTTGCGTTATAACTATGCTATAAACTAGACTACTATACATTACAATATTATACCTTCCAATCTAAACTACATTGTATAATATCGTATCCATAGACAAACCCCACCTTTGAATTATACAATGCGTTACTATACACTACCCTATACATACTTTAGACTATAAAATATTAGACTTGTAATATTACACTATGTATTATTCTACTAACCCTACTGTATACCACACTGCTGTATATTCACTATACAATTACGGTACTATATATTGCCTTATGAATTATGTTAAACATTACACTGTTATACTATTTATTATTATACAACATGCTATAAACTATACTATTGACCGTTCATGTGAAAGGTACTAAGAGGCAGTGCCAGCGAATGGACCACGGTCTGAAAGAATCAAGAACCGAAATGGTTTATAACGTCTTTCCAATGGTTACTAAGCCGGAATCCATCTTCTCGGTTGAAATTGTCTCTGTGTTTGTATATGTGGATAGCCTCATGAACGAATCTCTCATGTTAGCCGGATGTCTTGCAGAGAACCTCCGTCTTGGAGAAGTCAATGTCTTGTGAGCCCACTGAATTATAACAGTGATCTGCCACGGCTGAGGTGTTCGTCCTACCGTGTTTCAAGTCTGCTTTATGTTCACGGATGCGGTCCGAGATATGTCGTTTGGTTTCTCCAATGTAGCTGCTACCACAGAGACAACTTAGTTTGTAGACGCCCGGGTACTGTATGTCTGGAACCACATCTTTTACAGACGGAACCAGATCATGGATGTTATGTACTGTGTTGAATCGGACCTGGATCTTGTGTTTATTCAGGATTTTGGAGATCTTTTTTGTGACCCCTGCAATGTAGGGTAAAGTGATGGTTTTGAATGGCTCCTCAAGAGGATCCTTCTTCATGGTTGGAGTGATGGCTTTGCGGATTGTGTAGTCGGAGTAACCATTAGCCTTGAGAGCTTGGTGTACGTGCTTGAGTTCACTAGCAATGTGTTCCTGGTCGGAAATGCATTGGGCTCTATGGTATAGAGTCTTGATGAGGGAATTCTTCTGGGATGGATGGTGATGGGAATCCGGTTTTAAGTAAGCATCCGTATGGGTAGCTTTCCTGTAGACAGAGTGGCTCATTGAACCATCAGGTCTCCTTTTAATTAGGACATCCAAAAAGGGTAGCTTGCCATCTTTTTCGACTTCCATGGTAAATCTGATGGCTGGGTGTATGGAATTGATGTGGTCGAGGAATTGTTCCTGAGCAGGCCGGCCATGTGACCAGATGACAAAAGTGTCATCCACGTACCTCTTCCATAAGGTCGGGCGTAGAGTGGCAGCCTGGATGGCATCAGTCTCAAATTTTTCCATGAAAACGTTGGCTACAACCGGCGATAGGGGGGGGCCCATTGGGGTGCCCTCAGTTTGTTTGTAGATTTTTTTTATTTATTATTTTATCTCCATTCTACTTGACTTTACCGAAAGAACCCAGAAGATGAATCCCTGCAGTCACGAAAGCTTTAAATCGAAATCCCTCTATATTCTTTCTAGCTTACGTCCAAGTGACTTCAGAAAACCAAGATGGTCATCTTACCATGGCGATAGGTGGGCATAAGATAGAAAGCATGTCGTGAGTGGGGCAAGAGCCTCCAGTGCTTTTGCAATAATTGAATTGTATGGGCTGATCATATCCTTAAGGTTCGAAGGCTGAAAAGATCATGACGTTGATGAAAGAACAGTGTCAGCAAGTTTGGCAACCCGTTTGGTTCTGGCCGAGGTGAGGGCCATCTCGAGCTCAGTGAGGATGGCCAGATCATCAGAAGTAGCAACATCACATGGCAGCAAACCCTGCACCTACCACGAGAGAGCACGTGATCTGCAGCTTGATCCCAATTGTCAGTTGGAAATTTAACATTGTGAAACAAAACCAGAGCAATTAAAAAAATCCAGGAATTCCTGGGCCATATTACACTTGCTGGAGTCAACTTGAATGTTAAGGTCACCCAAAATTAAAATCGTATTAAATGAAGGGCAAAGGAATGATAACAATTCCAACAATTTATGAAGAGTTTAACTTTGTTTCACGATAAATTTAATAATGAGTGTGTTCGGAGGTGCCAGTTTAAAAGCGAAACATTCGAAACATTAATAGCAGGGGTTGTTTGCAGAGTGAGTTTAAGATCGCGATGATGAATTGCTGCAAGGCAACCACCCTGCCAGAAAAACGGGCCTTCTCAACAAAACCGAAGCCTGAGCCAGCTACCTGGTTCGCCAAATAACAATCATCCTGACAGTGCCACGTTTCGGTCAAGCAAAAGAGGAGGTCATGGTTGTGGTCAAGCAAAAAGTTAAGTAGAAATGATGCCTTGAGAGTTACAGAATATTAAGAAGAGCCACCTCAGCAGATTCAATGGTCTGCTCGGGACTCCTGGGCACTGAAAGTGGAATATATAACGACATTTACAGGACTTCAAGCAATCACAACCTGGAAAATAGAACGAAAGCTTTGTCGGCAACTGCTAATTGTCCAAATAATATGGGAATCGGAGGAACTAGCCCAGCCATAGCGTGCAGGGCCCGGCCAGACCCACATTGGATGGTAGAGGGCCATCTGTCCCGCCAACACCCTGCTGCTGTTCAAGTCCCGGCTCATAACCTTTTTTTTCCCCTCTGTCTATGACAGTCACTTTTTCTCTATAAACAAATATACGCTGAATGTTTCTGTATAGCATCTGTTGTATTTCGTTGCTGTTTAAACCCAAATTGCATCGCATTGTACTCGATGTTCTTGAGAACATAATTAGTGCTCGGGCAAAGTTTAATTGCTCCTTGCACTTGCACTACGGAACATACTAATCCACCGTGTAGGCGTGTGACGATGTGTTGGATTGAGCGAAGTCGACATTTATGCTCACGACGCATGCGTTGAACGGTGTACGTAAGAGGAACGTGTGACTTTTGGTAATTTTATTCAAATTCTATGAAGATGTCCACTTTAGGCTAATGGAATGCATGAGACAGAACATGCGAGACGAGATAAACAAGATGTTTATCGTGGTAACTTGTGCATCATAAGCATGGCACGAATGCCACATCAACCTAATGTAAATGAGATGGCGCTAACGAGACATTATACTGATATATTTTTTTATTGAATCGTGGCATTTAATTAAATCGCGTGGTGAGGAAGTTGTAAGTTCTAGCATCCATACTCCTGACTGCTACCATTGCTACTCCAACCTTACGGATTACATGTATCATGACTTCGAGGGTGCACCGACCGATACAGCGGTCGTTCCCAAAACGTGGGTCACTCGCATGTTGTCCCGCCACAGCGACCACCGCGATGGCCGGCATGGGCCACAGCAACACACCCTCCAAACTGGCAGGCACCACCATGGATGCCAAGCGGGGTCCTTCGGAGGGCCCGCAGCAAACGCCTGTCACGGAGCCGGTGAGGGTGAACCGCGCACGGAAGACTCTGCCCAAGCCTACGCCGAGCCAGGTAAATGGGGACGAGCAAGCGGTGTGGCGCTGTGTGATCGCCAGAACGGACGTCCGCGCGCTTATTGCCATTTTCAGTGTGATGGCTTTCCCGTCTGGACCCAACACAAGGTACCACTCCGGGAAGCAAGCGGACAGAGCAAGGAGGCACCGTCGGTGCCGGCGCCGACGCCGGTGCCGGCAGTTGCAGTGTTGGTGGCAGCTGAGGGGAAGGAGGAGCCCGGAAAGATCAACGAGGTGACGCATGTTCTGCCGACTGGCCAGGGCAGTCAAGCCGCCAACATCGATTCGCCCAAAAAAGCACCAGCACCACCACCACCACCGCGGGACCAGGGAGAACACCTCAACTCCGTCAGCCAGATCAGGCAGGGGAACTCAACGCACCTCAACAGCCAGACCAGCCAGGCTAGCCAGCCTGGACAAGGTAGCCAGCCTGGACAAGGTAGCCAGCCTGGACAAGGTAGCCAGCCTGGACAAGGTAGCCAGCCTGGACAAGGTAGCCAGCCTGGACAAGGTAGCCAGCCTGGACAAGGTAGCCAGCCTGGACAAGGTAGCCAGCCTGGACAAGGTAGCCAGCCTGGCCAGCCTACCCAAGTCACCCACTCGCATAATTCAAGTAACTTCATCCATCTGAAGCAAAATGACCAGTCAAACAATGTTCGTGCATACAGCCAGCCCACCCAAGGTGACCAGTCAAACAAAGTCAGCCAAAACAGCCTGCCGAGCCAAGTCGGCCAGCCCAACCCCAGCCCGGTGAACCAGCTGAAGCAGGCTAGCCCGACTAGGCAGGCCGTGTCCATCAACAATGGCACCGAGGTGAAGCCGCCCCCTAAGAGCGGCGATGGCGCTCAGGCCTCCAGCGAGGCCGCAGGGGAACCCATCGGACAGGCCCCCGAAACGCCCTCGTCGGACACCGTCGGCCTCGCGGTGGACGGGAAGGGAGCTGCCACCTCCTCCTCATCGGGTAAGCGAGAGTCGGCAGCCTCGTTGGAAAAGTAAAGTGTTTGGTATTAAGCTGGGATATCCATTATTTAAGTAATCAATTCCTCTTATAGATCATCGGTTCCATTACTGCCACTAGCACGGCCCTGCAACTGCTCGTTCACACCACTGCTTGCAAAAGGGCCTCTACGAGAGAGAGCTTTAGAGAGCTTCTCTCGAGGGTATTTTGGCCTGGGCAAAAGGCCTCCCGGATTGTCTTCCATTGCTTCCTTTCCCATAGACTCTGTTGTCTGTTTGTGTGGCCGTGCCTGCAGCTCCTCGCAAGAGGAAAAGGAAGATGGGGCTGTACAGCTTCGGGCAGAAGAAGAAGGGAAAACCGATCCGTCAGCGCACGCTGATGGAGATGCTGCAGGGCAAAGTGGCGCAGCCCGAGAGAGATGGGCGCGTCGAGGTGTGAGACGGTGCTCGCCAACACTGACGATGCACGCAGAAGTTCTGTGCATCGTTTCTATAGGCAGACACACGTATACACGAAACACGAACAGCCGCCATTCGCCACTATGGCGGTGATGTCACCACAACGCTTGTGCCAGGTTAGGTGCACTTTGAGGCCATTGCATGATGTGTCAAAGGCTCGGTGACAGGAGGTCATGGAATAGACCCAGGTGCCATGGGTTGACTGAGATGACTGGCAGAGGCACCAGCTGTGCCCCTTACTGTGCCAACTTGCTATGTTTTAGCCACCCGGCGCTCCGCTCTTTCTTGTGAGCTTCGCTGCTCTGTCGTCCGCTGTTGTTTGAGGGCGACTGCCTCCAAATGCCCAGTAGCGTCCTCCAACAACAACAACAACAACCGTCATTCGCCACTAAGTGGCGGTGACGTCACCACGACGCTTGTGCCAGGCTATGTGCACCCTGAGGCCACGTGAAGTGTCGAACGCCCGCTGGCAGGAGGTCACGGGGCAGACCCAGGTGCCACGGGTCGACTGACTGAGATGACTGGCTGATGCACCACCTGTGCCCCCTACTGTGCCAACCTGCTGTGCTTTAGCCACCCGGCGCTCCGCTCGCTGTTGTGAGCGTCGCTCCTCCGCCCTCCGTTGTTGTTGGAGGGCGACTGCCTCCAACTGCCCAGTAGCATCCTTCACGAGCCTCCTCCACAGAGGCCGATCTTGACACCGCTGGTACCAGTCATCGGCAAGTCCACTCAGCTCCACGTCCTCCTGTACCACATCACTCCATCTCTTCTCTAGCCCGTGCCGCGCCCGCTTAGCCCCCTCAATCCGGCCAAACAAAAGCTGTTTCGGCATGCGGTGGCTGGGCATGCGGGCTACATGACCCAGCCATCGCAGCCTTGCCTGCCGGAGGAGCTCACCGATGGGACCCTGCCCAGATCTTTCAAGGATTTGTGAGCTCCTCACACAATCCAGTCTGGTTAAACCCAGGATGGATCGTAGGCAGGTCAGCCTAAATGTTTCTAACCGCCGAAGATGTTCCATTAGGGGGGTCCACGTTTCGCAAGCGTAGAGAAGGGAGGGAATGACCGTGGCCGAGACGACCTGAAGCTTAGTGCGGAGCGACAGACCAGGTAGCTTCCACACAGCGTTACGCAACCGATGAAAAGATATTGCCGCTCGACTGATTCGGAGTGAGACCTCTGCTGTTAAACTGGAGCCAGTCATAAGCACACTGCCCAGGTATGGGAAACTCTCCACTCTCTCCACAACTGCCCCATCACCGATTGGGAGTTGTGGGGGTGGAGTGTCCGATGGTACAAAATACCCAGGCAGGTGCTTAGTTTTGGTGGGGCTGATGGTAAGGCCCCACCTCTTAGTGGCACGCTCCAGTCTCAGCAGCAGCATCTCCAACTCCTCCTCTGACTGAGCAGCTATTACCAAGTCATCAGCATACATAACGTGGTTGAGCAATAGGGAGCCATCCCTTGACCGCACCCGGGCATCGATTAGCCTCCCATTATATCTGTACCATATGGAGATTCCCCCGGTACAGCTATTGAAGGCTTCACGAACTACGTGGTCAAAATAGATGTTAAATAATGTGGGAGCCAGAGGACATCCCTGTCGCACCCCAAGGTGTACAGGGAATGGCTCTGACTCCCGGCCACGTAGTTTTACCCGGGCCCGCTCACCATCATGAAGGTCCTTAATGATCGTGAGCAGAGGGTCAGGTACTCCAAAAGCACGAAGAACGACCCAGAGCCCAGGCCTACTGATGGTATCATAGGCCTTGACCAGGTCAATAAAGCAGAGATGTAGGTCTTGTTGGAATTCCCTACACCTCTGCTGTAGCAGACGGACAGAAAATATGGCATCTGTGCAGGACCGCCCTTTTCTGAAACCGCATTGGGGCTCCGCAAGCCTCTCCTCAGCGTGCCTGGCAAGGCGATGCTGAATAATCCTTGCCAGGACCTTTCCCGGCACACTGAGGAGTGAGATGCCCCTGTAGTTGTTACAGTCTGTGCGGTCCCCCTTCTTAAAAAGGGGGACCACCAGGGCATCCTTCCAATCCTGCGGAACCCGTCCAGTGGTCCAGACTGTTGTTATGATGTCATATAGGGCAGTCTGTGCACACACGCCACCCTCCCTCAGCATTTCGCTTGGGAGATCATCTCTGCCCGCTGCCTTTCCTGGTCTCAGACTCCGGATGTAGCGTCCTCCCCACACGGACACACACACACGTCTTCATTATCACTGCCATCGGAAATGCATTACTATGATTACTATAATTTCTAAAAATAGCATAGCTAATTATATATTTTTAAAATGTTACAAATTTGAGCAACAATTACCTACTATAATCACCCAGAAATGTCTGTCCGTCCCACGCGTGACGACACTCCACATGAGGCCCCCCCCATGTGACGTCACTCCACATGAGGCCCACCCCCCCTCATTAATATTCATGAGTGGGTGGATTTTTACACTAACGCAGAGGAAGGTCGAGCCGAATTAAATAATTTATTACGCAAAGTCGCTTCAAATATGACGTTTCTTTACAGAAAGTGACGGTAAAAAATAACTATGTAGCACAGTGCTACATCTGTGCATGACGTCACTGCAAAAGAGGCCCCCCCCACCCCCTTCATTAATATTCATGCCTGCGTGGAAATTTACACGAACGCACAAGAAGTTTGCGCGCTCCACATGCCGCACCCCTCCCCTCATTAATAATCATGAGCGGGTGACGTCACTCCACATGCTGCACCCCTCCCCAATAACCATTAGCGGGTGACGTCACTCCACATGGGGCAACCCCCCCCCTCATTAATAATCATGAGCTGAACAATTTTTCTATTTAATATTTCAGATTTACTGCAATTTACACCTGTCGTTGGACGGGCAAAAAAGCTAATAGGAATTATGTTAGCCAATGGTGTGGAGCGACAAAATTACGTCTGGCCAATAAAGATGAAGTTTATTAAAAAGTTTGTTTGATAAGCAGCAATTGGTCTACCAGGCACAACCTTGGGGGGTCATGTGGCCTCAGTGCTCTGATTGGCAGTTGCCATTACAATTTCTCACTTGGTGGGGAAGCAGCGATCCACTTTGTTCAGATTTGGGCATCTGTATTCTTTTTTGTGCAGAAGCTATTACCTTGTGCCATTTACGGTGACTGATTTTATTGTGTGTATATTTAAAGTCCGATATCTCAGGTTGGTTCTCGACATTCTTAAACATTTTCAGTTTGAAGCTCAGGCCTGCCTTTTCATCGCCACATAAAACTCAATCCCGGGACCAATTGAGATGTCACCACCTTTTTCGTGATCAGGAATTGAACTCTGGTCACCAGGTTCATAAAAATAGAAGGTACAATGGGTATAGAGTTCACTTTCTAGAAAAAATCTAAATCCCCAGTGAAGCAACGAAATGTTTTATGAGCAACCTAATCAATTTATATCCAGAGATGGAAAATGTAAATAGAATGAAAGAATCTGTAAAACACTTGTGGAGAGGCCAGACAGAAACAGAAAGACCTCTCGGCTGTATCTGCCAGTAACGTTAACACGTGATTATGTTTGTACACGTTGAGTGTATGTGTAGGTACTATTGAATCATTTGCTGAGTATATGCCCAGTGGCCTAAAAAACAAGATGGTCAGCAGCTAGAAATGCAAATGTTATAGAACGAATATGAGCCCTCACACCAATGACTGCACAATTTGATTAATTTAATTTGGCTAAAATGCAGCTCTGGGAATTTTCGGTTTGACTGTCATGTAACGAACATATCTCTGTGAATCAGGGCAGTTGGTGAGAAGCTACTGCCCTCTACTGTGTGGAGCAGAGATCACTTAAAGGGATTGCATAGATAATTTTGTGATATGTCTTTCCACAGACCATTGAGTTGCACTGCTCTGTGAGATTTCCTAATGGAACCTTCACCCCCATAACATGACACCACACGACCCTGTGGCCGGCTTTATGGCGTTTGCTGCACCGCTCTGTGTGGCTTTGTGATCGGTGCGTTGCTTCGCGCGTTGTGATGCAGGAGTGTGACCGGGCCTCCGATGGCGAGAGTGACCGAGATATGGCTGACCCCTCGGGCGACGAGACCCAACCACCACCGACGGCGTCTGGTACGGCCACAGCGAGGGAAACGGTCGCAGCACCAACGACAGCCGTACCGCCCCGCCCAGACACCCGCACGGAGCCCTCCCGCCAGCACAACCATGAGGTGGCAACGACCGCAAAAAACGCAACTGTGGCCACAACTGCACCCACGGAACCCGCAACCGCAGAATCTGACAATGAAAAAAAATCATCGGCGGTGGGAGCGTCGACGATCGCGTTGAATTCCGTCGGAGGCGACGCAGGGTCGGAGGTCGCAGCTGCCACTGCTGCTGCAGTAGTGGGAGCAACAGGTGGAGCGAAGAGAAAATTGGAGATGGGAGGAGGAGGTGGCAGCGGCAACGGCAGTGGCGGTGGCAGCGTGGGCTCCCACACATCCCAGGAGTCTCTGTCGGGAGGAGCGCAGTCTCTGGACGGCGATGTTGCAAGCAGCAAGGTGCATTATGTGGAAATGATTAAAATTGTATGTTGTTTAAGCGGCCGCGAGAACTCAAGAGACCAGGATAGAGTCTCAGTTGCAAGAGTGAGCTGGGTCATAAAAATGACAAGCAAAACAAAATAAAAGTACAGCAATAAAGGAAATAAAATTTGGCAAAAATAAATGTCAAAATGACTTATTGTTAGTAGCTCAGCTGATTTGGGAGTTTATAGAGTTTATTGATAATATTGATGTAGTTTATATTATAGTTTTTTATCAGATTACTATATGGTATTCATTATATAGTGTAGTGTATACCCAGTTATTTTATGTTAATAGCTCAGCTTATTGGAGAATATATTGAGTACATTGATTATAGTAGTTTATATTTAGTTCTATCACATCGGTTTATTATATGATAGTTCGGTAGTTGCAGTTATTTAGTGTCAATATACTAAATGCCTCTGTTGATATGTAAACTCTGACTTTAACATAGCTACTTCCGTGGCCAGTTACATGCTAATCCCTCACACTAACATGCGAATCTCCCAGTTACATGCTGATTTCTGACTAACATCCTACTAATCTATCACATTAACACAGCTACTTCAATGCTAAATTCTTCTGTAGATATGTAAACTCCTTTGTCAAGGCGCTCTGCTCCTCCCACCCAGCTTAAGATACGCTGCCAAGCTTAGCAGTGTTCATTGGAGCGCTGTCTTTCCGACAGTTCTGTTTCTTCACCTGAGGAAGGCTACTTGTGTTGTGGCCGAAACGTCGTGAGAATTTTAATTTATTATGTTTTATTTTTATGATTTTATTATTTCCCTTCTACGTGACTTTACCGAAAGAAGATCTAAAATATTGCCTAAAAAAATACAAATCACCTTGTAATAATACATTCCCTGCAGCGCAAGTTCTCTCGGGGAGATTGTTTATGCTGAGCAAAGCACAATACAATTACAGAAACTTTAAGTTGAAATGTTGATTACTGTGCTCCTATGTAAACGGACAAGGATATATGTTTCATTGTCAATTGTAACAACTCCAAGTGTGTCCTTGTCATTTAAATGTAACGTCCTGTAATTTCCTCCTACTGCTAGGCCCATTCACAGGCCGGTGCTGCACACGCCTTATTTCCTTCACAGGGATAGCTGCCACTGGGAGTCCCCTTAGCTGGACTGCGGAAAGGAATTGAAATGGTTGAGATGGGATATAGCAGGCGCTTGACTTTCTTTCGGCATTTAAGCAAGTGCCCTGTACTTGCTAATCCTTATCCTGTAATCAACGTAATAGTTTGCAGCCCTTTGTCAGTCCACTGCTGGATGAGGGCCTGTCCATGCCATGTTGATAATGGGGGTAGGGGTTGTCTGCCCTACTTCACCTCACTGGTCTTTTGACAGGACATCGACAGCACAATTGGGATTAAACTGGGGAAAAAGACGAATAAGATGTTACATTTAAGGAGTAACGCTCTTATGTGCTCTTTCTGTTGCCGTGATCATGTAGGAGGAGGGCGAGGTGATGGACGGCGACACGGAGGAGGACGAGGAGGAAGGGGAGGAGTCTGAGAACCACTCGGACGTGGTGAGGAACCTCCTTCACCTCCTCCACCTTGGCGGTGTCGCTTTCAGTGGGCGATGCCTGGCGAACGTCCAGGACGATACCCGTTTACAAGTGTGTGCGCGTTCATGTGTGTGTGTGTCAGAGCTCCGGGTCAAGCAGCAAGCGCAAGCGTGCGGGGGGCAAGCAGAAAGGGGGCAACCCTTGGGTGAAGCCCAACCGACGGCGCAGCCGCGTGGAGCGCCAGAAGTACTTGCAGCGCAGCGGGCAGAGTGAGTGCGCAGTTTTGATCATCCGGGTTTGGCGATTGGCGACGTCGAATCAGGCGATCGTTTTTATCCTGGGTGTCAGAACTGAGATTGGTCACACTGGTCCCGAGAGGGGGGTAGATGCTGCAACGCCTTCATCAGCCATCGTCCTCGTGATGGTCATCAGCCATGATTAATCCACTGCTGGATGAAGGCCGCCACAAGCCATCGCCCATCTCTCAGGATCTTACAATGTAACAATTTGTCACGTACCTGCACGAGTTTATTTCACTGCTCCAGCTCTGCAGCAGATGTCCTCTCAGGCATGTTCCCTCCTTGGCTGTCATTCCATCGTTCGTCTTGCCCATGGCCATCAACCATTCTAGCCGTGACGTATCCTGCTCAAGCCCACATACGTAACGTTCAGTGTGATGTCTCTTACACGTGTCTCTCATATTTGTTACAGGTATGTCAAAAATCTTGATCGGCGAGTATCCAATTTTAGACTTATTTTCATCAACAGATTCAAATGCCCAGAGGAACGAAATGATGATCAAATGGATGACACAACTCTTTCTACAAGCCTGTAGCTTAGTATACCCCTTTATACCTGCCGTGATTTACTGAGGCAATTAATTCTGCTTCGCTTCCAAGTTCTGATAAGATTGGGTGCATTCCACGTCGTTGGTCAACAGAAATGTTTTTTATTTATTGATTTATGTTTATGTAGTGTTTTCAATTTCTTTTGAAAATAGATTTATATTTTTGCTGTGATTTCTATTTGCTTCTTGTCCGATACTTTTGTCATTTCGGTGACCCAGGTCACGCTTCCAAGTAAGTCTCATCCTGGTCTCTTGAGTTCTCAGCTGGTTAAACAAAATAAAGTTGAAACGTGAACCCATTTAGATGGTGTCAACAACTCATTGTTACTTAACAGAAATATGAAGACTTTGCCCGAGCTGTCTGGCTGCTACTGGACCACAATAATCCCTCCTCTCTCTCTTGTCCCGCAGACGCGTCGACGGCGCCGGTCCCGCCGGCCCCGCCAGACGGAGACATCAAGGAGAGCTACACGGCCACGGCGCTGCCTCTGCCGACACACTCGGTGCTGTCCCCGCACACGAAGGGTGAGCCGCCCTGCGCCTTGCACAGAGGGGGTGTGTGGGTGTGGTGCGGGTAATCGGCCCTGTGGCACACACACACACACAGGGGGTATAGTGTGTGGTGTGGGTGACCGACATTGTTACACACACAAAGGGGTGTGATGTAGGTGGTGTGGGTGAACCTCCCTGCGTCACACACACACAGGGGGTGGTGGTTTGTCGTGGAGCACCTGCTGGGAAAAGTTCCACAATCTTCTGCCACTGCTTGCAAATTGACACTTTGCCTAGGGGAGCCCTCATATTGGAAGTGGTTTCCACTGGCTATTTTCCTTGCCCAGCCGGAAACCTAACCTTGACATACTGCACTCACAAGACAGTCTGAAATTGGCTTGGAGCCAAGCAGGGCCAGGAGGTGCGGGGTTAACAGCTTTCATCGTACGTTTCGTCAGTCCGTACACTTGAGAAAGATGAGCAGTGTGGGTGCACAGCCAAATCGACCCCATCATTGCTTGTGACATCAGCGGGCACACGGCTCTATTTCCACAGTGGAAAAACAACCTGGAACCTCCTGAGCCATACCGGGACTGGCTTCGCATGGCCCTGAAGCAGCGTGACTGTAGAGTGGGGAAAAAAGTGGGGAAAAAAGGTTTCTATTGCTCTCTGCCCTGGGCTCCCTCCCTCCCCTCTGCTCGTCACACAGAGTCGAGGCGCAGCTCGGACATGGAGGAGGGGCTGCAGGAGCTGCCCCTGTGCAGCTGCCGCATGGAGGCACCCAAGAACCGCGAGATCAGCAAGTTGTCCAGTGGCAAGTGCATGGCCACGGAGAGCACCAATGGGCAGGTGTGTGTGTGTGCGTGTGTACCCAACCTGTCGTTATTAAAATTATGGTAAGATTGGTTTTAGCTGTTTTTTTATCTGGGAAAGGCGCAACAATAGTTTTAAGCAAGGTCCTGATGTGGAGATGTGGTCACTTACTTTCTCTTTAATAAATGTTCTATTTCTTAGTACGCCTGTGTGCACTGATGCTAGTGGTTTCTGTGTTGACATCGATGGTTTCCATGGTGCCCGGCCAGCTTCTGTGGTGACCCCAGTGGTTTCTGTGGTCGCACCAGCCGGTTACTGTGGTGAGACCTGTGGTTACACCAGTGGTTTATATGGTGACTGGCTGGTTTCCGTGGTGACACGGGTTTTTTCCTGGTGACACTGTTTGGTCTCCGTGGTGACACGGGTGGTTGCCGTGGTGATTCCGTCCTGTCTCCGTGGTGACACGGGTGTTTTCCACGGTGACGCTGTCTGATCTCCGTGGTGACGCGGGTGGTTTCCGTGGTATCGCGAGCAGTTGACGCGGTGCCTGCGCTCGGTGGCCAAGCAGGAGACGATGCGGCCATCGAGCCGTGTGCAGCTCATGGTGGTATGCGAGGAGCACCGCGCCAAGATGATGACGCACCACTGCTGCCCGGGGTGCGGCTTCTTCTGCTCCACGGTAGGGTGGCACGCGGCTTGCACGTGTGACACTCGTGACGCACTGCGCGGGGGTGCAACACAACCATGACACACCTTCGCAAGACCAGCGCTGGTCTCGTTTGATTGCTTGGGCACCTTTAAAATCAGTGGCTGTCCTTCCCAAGCAGGAAGCCCCTCCCCAACAATTTAGTAGAGGCTACACGGGGAGGAGGAGTCATTGTCCTTTAACGCTTGCACATTCGGTCTGAAAGCATTGATGCCTTCGCTCCCTCTCTCTGTCCGTCCGCCTGTCAGTAGTGAAATGCGGGAAAATAACTCTCCCAAAGATAATCCAATGAGATTCACATTTTTTGTGCGAAGTTGCGTTGCTTTTAAGGACTGGACAAATTAATCAAAGTGTTACGCAACACTTGGTGACAAACTCATCACCTTAAGCTAAGGTGATGATGTCACATGGCGTGGGCGTTTCTTCTCCTCGACGTCGCTACAGTGTGACGTTATCTTGCTCGGACAAGCGCGTGTTGGTAAGCGTTGCAGGGTCCGTGTTGCGTACGTTTGATTATTCTCGTTTGTATTTTTTTTCTCCTGCGTCCGTGTTACCCCAGGGCACGTTCCTGGAGTGCCAGCCGGACGTAGGCATCTCTCACCGGTTCCACGTGCGCTGCGTGTCGCGCCTCAACGGCTCACTCTACTGCCCGCACTGCGGGGAGGAGGCCTCGTCGGCGCGGGAGGTCACCGTCTCCGCCGCCGACGCCGCTGCCGCTGCCGCCACCATTACTGGCTCGGCAGCGCAGTCCGTGCGGGCTTTCGACGGCCTGCACATGCGCCCCGGCGGCACCAGGTGCGGCGAGAGCGGTGGTGTGGTAGTGTTGGTGCTACCTAGCCGTGTGCAGTGCGACGCGGTGAGGAGGGCTTAATTTTCTCACTGAATATTTCCTGGGTCGCTGGCAGGCCGGAATGGGTGGCACGTTATAAGTAGCCACAGCTGTTGTGTGTGGTGGGGTGTGTTTGTGTGCGGAGTGGGATGGTCTCGTGTGGGTGCATTGTGGAGCGTGGTAGAACATGGAGGTGCGTGGTAAAGTGTCCTGAGATTTGGTTGCGTGTGGTGGGGCGTGATTGTCTATGATAGGGCCCGGTTATGGCTGGTTGCAGCATAGTTATTAGATGCTGTCAAGTGTCTATTCACCTGTCCAGCTCCTAGCTTCCCCATTTTCCCATCGGCAACGTTCACAGAGGACTCCACCGAGTTTCTGTGCTTGAATCTCGCGTGCTTGCATTTCTGTGCCGGCAGCGCGCGTATGCGTCCGGCACCCGAGCCGAGCCGTGCCCAGGCGGCGCCACCGGCCGCAGCCGTGCTTTCGGCGAGTGCGGCGCCGGCTTCGGCTCCGTCTGGGAGCGAGGGGGAGGCGCCGCTGAGCGAGGGGGAGGTCGCCGGCCCAGCGACGACCCTCAAGAGCGGAGCGGTGATCTCGGCGACAGGGCTGCCCTCGGCCGGCAGCAAGGAGCTCCTGGAGCAGGCGCTCATCACCCTGCACACGGAAAGGTGCCACCACCTACCTCTGCCCAACTCCATCTCCTCCCTCTCCCTCCTCCCACTTGCTCCTGCTGCATCTCTCTTCCTCCGCAGTCTCCTCCCACCCCTCCTCCTAGGCCTCCCTCCTACTTCTCCCTCTGGTAGTGAGCACGGAGTCGTGCTTGCCAGAGTGAGGAGGCTTCGCAGAGGCCGAGAGAAAGGGGAGAGAGTGACTTTTGCCCACAAGATTGGGATTCACCCCATTATGGTCGTTTGTAGTTTCACAGAAGGGGTCACTGTTGCTATACAGTTTCACCCAATTAGGTAATTTGTGAGTAGGGTTGGGGGTAGTGATTGCATCTCAAATGAGTTGAAATTCAACAACATTTCCCTGCAAGCCTCCACAGATCTCCTGCCCAACAGCACACACCTGTGGGTTGTATGCAGCACCAGCCGGGCTTTTCAAAATGGTGGAGTGGTTAAGCAGCACTGATGAGCCACATTGTTGGGTCAGCAGGTCAAGCGTGGTGGAGCCGTCAAGCAGCTGTTCTCCTTATGAAGTCATACAGACAGTAGACACGTACCCGTTGACTGCTTGGTGTGTAGATGAGAGATTGTATTGTTTATCGTTGTAAATGTGAAATTCTGTGCCGAGCCCCGGTTTTACCCTCCTTGCTTCTCCCCCACGGCCCACAGACCCAAGAAACTTCGCTTCAACCCCAAGCAGTTGTACCTGGCGTCACGGCTGGGAGAGCTGCAGAAGGTGCTGCTGATGTTGGGTACGAAAAGACGGGCGGGCGGGCGGCTTTGTCAATAGCAGCGCCGGTTAACAACTGGTACGAGCAGTCGATGTGAGTCGATTGATCAACCAACTAGAAGATTGTGATTCACTAGCGTTGTTTCTGTAGTTAATAGCGACATGGCCTTGCGTGAGTGCCCGCTGCGGTAGGCAAAATATCAGTGCTGGGTAGACAAAGGTCGGCGCGGTTCTGTTCACGCACCACCTCGTGTGCCTTGCCGATCATCATACCTGCTCGTTAGCAGCACTTGCCCCAACAGTCTTGTAAAGGGCAATTGAGGGATCTTTGTGCGCAATTACGTGCGTTCGTGTGTGTGTGCAGTGGAGGGACTGGACCCCAATGTGGCCATCGAAGGGCAGAGGAAGAGAACTCCGATGCACGGGGCGGCCGAGAGGGGCCACGTGGAGGTCCTCCACACCCTCGTGCAGGTGGCCTTCGCACGCTCGCCCGCACCATCTGCACACACGCACACTCGCGCTTGCAAGAGTTTTTCCCGATTACGTTATCGGTGTTGTGTCATGAGACGAAGAATCCCACTTTGGAACTCTCGCAGAGCAGAGGGGACCCTTAGTGCGTTGTAAAACAGCGGATATCGCAGACCATATTCTGAAAACCGTTCCAGTAACCTCTGGTACACGCAGTCGGGGGGCGGTGGCACCTTTCCACCTAAACTGTCCCGTGTTTTTGTTTTTCTGAATACTTTCCAAGCAAGATTGGAAGCATTTGTGCGGTAGCTATGGTTGTTCGTACCGTGGGGGTTGCTACTGCTGTCTATAAATTTAATGATAGGTTGTACCCTTTCTGGCAATAAAACAGGCGTTAAGATGTTAACACACCAAACAGAAGAATCCTTTTTCAAGGAATCCTGTCTGCATTAACTACACGCACTTGTGGTGAACATGCAACCAATCGAGGAGGAACGTGTGTTGGAATCCTTCACACAATCCACGCGCGCGGGTGCGTGATCTTTTGTCGCTTGTTTGTAATCGCAGGCGGGCGGCAACATAGACGCGTGCGACCAGGACCAGAAGACTCCGCTGCTGCAGGCGGCCGAGTCGAACCAGCTTGCGTCGACGCGCTACCTGGTCAAGGCTGGGGCCTACGTGGCTCACAAGGTGGGGATTGAACGGCAGTGCACCAGCGCCTCTCTCGGTTCAGGGGGTTAAACTTTGTGGTACAGTGTGCCACCTGCTTGGTTTTTACAAAGTGTCAGGGCCACGTCTTTGGTTGCTGTTCCGACCGAAAGACCATTTACCATTTTCTGGCCTACCTCGGTGATGGTATTGGTTTTGCCAGGCATTTGACATGGAAGAGCCGTGTGACAGTTACCGATTTATCACGTTGGCTACATTAGGCCTGCTGCTTGGAGTCACTCCAAGCATCTTAGCTACACTAATTGGTTACTCTTGGGTAATATTTTCAACCTCTGTAATGTTTTACAATACTTTGTATTTAATCTTCTCAATCACTTTTGTTGCGATGATAAACGCGAGCCCCTAATTTTTTCATGTTCTTATTGGATAACTTTAATGTGTGTGTGTTAACCTCTGATTTTCCGCATAAGATATTTGAAAGTCCTATTCGACTCTCGGTAACAAAAAGGTTCCCCTTTGCTGGTTTAGAGATAGGACTAGTCGGAGAGGTGAGTGGTCGAGATCACTCGGCGGCCGGGGTGTGTGCGCTTCCCACTCAAGCCCACGTGGCTCTCACGTGCGGTGGTCCCACACTTTATCGGTCACGCTGTTTCACGCTGCCATCGCTGGCGCTCTCTCTCTCTCAGGACGACGAGGGGGCCACCTGCCTGCACCTGGCCGCCAAGAAGGGCAACCTAGAGGTGGTGCAGTACCTGGTGTCCACCGGCAAAGTCAACATCAACTGCCAGGACGACGGTGGCTGGACGCCGGTCATCTGGACGGCCGAGTACAAGCACGTGGACGTCGTGAGGCTGCTGCTGTCCCGCGGCGCTGACGTGACGCTGAGGGACAACGTGCGTCCACCGCCCTCCTCACCGACCCGGCCGCTAACCGAACTGTCCGATGTCCCCGCTGATTTGCTCTTTGTCTACTCGCTTCGTGTTTGTTCAGCCTCCCCATCAGCCTGTCTCACCACCCTCCTCACCAATCTGTCCCCTCACTGGGTGTCTGCTCATCAGCCTGTTTGCTCACCCCCACCCCTTGCCTCATCTCCCACCCGTTTTCCCCGTGTCTGGTCGCCCACTGTGCGGCGGCCCCCACCATGCGTCGAGACTAGGAGGTATCGCATAATGTTAGGCCCACGGTGCAACCCCTTTGTCCGTTGCGTTGTCACCTAATGTCGTGGTGATCTTTCAGATTAGCACGTCGGTTTCTGTTAACAGAGTAATGCAATACTGCTGCTACAGGCTCTTTTATTCATGAATAGTTATAAAGTATAATGAAATATAATTGTAATCATTGGTTAATGTTTAAATCCTGTGAGGTCATGACCCCTATTTAAGAAATCGGATCAGGTACCACGGTAATTCTGACTTCCTAGATCTTGTCCTGAAGATGCTTTCGCAGTTTTTGAAGCGAAACGTTGCGAATCTAATAATTGACGTGTCGTTAAACACCTGTCCATACGATAGCTCGGTTTGTTCAGCCATGCCGGGTGGTGGAGGGTCTCAACGACACATTTGCCACGACCCGTGCCGTGCGGTGCGTGCGCAGGAGGAGAACATTTGCCTGCACTGGGCGGCGTTTGCCGGCAGCGTGGACATCGCCGAAGAGTTCATCAACGCGCAGTGCGACCTGCACGCGGCCAACCTGCACGGCGACACGCCGCTGCACATTGCTTCCCGCGAGAACCACTACGAGTGTGTCGTGTGAGTGTTTAACGCATCGTCACTGCAGGTGTATGTCACTACGAGTGCGTGGGGAGCGACGTGGCGACCGGGCGTGGTGCTCGCCCAACCGCTCCTTCGTGTGTCCTTCCACTCTTCGTTAGATGCTACTCGCCTATACTCGCCTACAGCACTTGTATCAGGCTACGCGGGGGATCTTTGTCTTCTGTGTGCAGGCTGCTGCTGGCGCGTGGCGCCAACGTGGACGTGCGCAACAAGGAGGGCGAGACGCCCATGGAGTGCGCCTCCGTCGACTCGACGGTGTGGCTGGCGCTGCAGATGAACCGCAAACTGCGCGAGATCGTGGCCTGCCGGCCCGCTCGCACCGAGCGCATCCTCACCCGGTAGCGCCTCATCCCTCGCCTGCACACCCCTAGCCCGCTCACCCTGGGACGTACTGCCTAGAGGAAACGGTTAAACTGCACCACAGCGGTGCTTATGTCGTGTCTGGTTTAACGATTATGTATGAATCGATGTTTGTGGTTACGAGATTGCTGTGCGTGGTTACGAGTTTGTACGTGGTTATGCGTGTATCTCGTACTCGCACGTCACAAGCGGTTGTGGTTGCGCACGCCCCAGGGACATCGCGCGTGGATACGAAATCGTGCCGATCCCGTGCGTGAATGGCGTCGATGAGGAGCCGCCGCCCGCCGACTACAAATACCTGGCCAAGAGCTGCGAGACGTCTCCCATGAACATCGACTGCAACATCACGCACCTGCAGGTACAGATCGCGGGCCCAGGTTCGCCAGCCCGCACACCTAGGCACATCTGGGCACACCTGGAGCAGGGATTAATTTCAGCCGGGTCTATTCGGTTGAACGATCAGCATTGTTTACTCCTTAAAGTGAAAAGTTGACGAATGAAACCTTAAAAAGTCCCGAGGTGTTGCCAGTTGTAAAGAATATTACTCGTTTGTGACGTCAATGTGTAGGTTTTGCAGCCAATATTAAGATTCATGATTGACTGTTGGGTTAGGCCGTGTAATGGGCTGGCCAAGTCCTGTCACCCTCCACCACCCAAAGCTCAATGAATCTGCACCGTGCTGCACTCGTCCTAGAAAGTCTGCTAGATTTGTCCCTAGTCGAGTTGACGAGATCTTTCGGAGGTCCTGAAATTGTTTCCATGCTCGGCACACCGCATACAGCATACTTCTCGCTTTGGCTGTGACTAGTAGTCACGTGCCATCTTCTCCGGTCTAACCAGTATCCCAGAAATAATTTGAGCGAAACTTAAGGTGCTGACGTGGATGTTACCTGCTTGAGCGCAGCCTGGCCAGGCAGGTGGTGAGCACTGCAAAACCGTGCTCTGTCTTACTAGTTCAGGAATCTGATTTTAACTCTTCCTCTCTGATGCAATGGGCGTCCATTTTTGTGCCGCCCCCCCTCATACCCTGCCTCTCGCCGTCTGACCTTTTGACCCCTCTGATTGCAGCACTGCAGCTGTGCGGATGATTGCTCGTCCAGCAACTGCCTGTGTGGGCAGCTCAGCATTCGCTGCTGGTACGACAAGGTACGTGCTGCAGACAGCGCACAGGTGCACGCCATGCTTGAGGTCCTCACTCCACCTGGGACCTGTTCACGTGTCCCTCTTTCTACCTGTCCCTTTGTTTAACCTGTGTAATTGTCCACATCTCAAACTAATAACTTGCCTGTCGACTTGTGTATCCGTACACCTGTTTACATGTCCAACTGTCTACTTGTCCACCTGTGCACCTACAAGCTATCTACCTGTCTGCCAGTGTTTATTAATGAACTTACGATTGCTGCATTCGGACTGTTGTTTTTATGTCAAGTAGGCATGACACATTTTATTGACTCATTGATTAAAATTGATATGTGTATGCAAGTTACATTTCCAGCCACGGCTATCATCGGTGGCAGGTGATATCTGAACCAGTACTGGGCCATCCAGCACTTCACCAACCCGCACTGATAAGCGTGGTGTAGTATGGTCAAACAACCACCATGACCAACACGGCTTGGGGACACCTTTCATCCCCACATGGCTGTGAGTGCTTAGCGGTAGAGTGAGTAGCTTGCAATCGGAAGGTTGCGAGTTCAAATCCCGGTTGTGAGGTTGACTCGTCTCATCATCCCTTCAGGGTCGATTAAATAATTACCACTTTGTCGACAGTGGTCATCCTATGAAAATATTCGCCCTCGTTATCGGAACGTAGAATTTCCACGACCGGCTCAGGGCTGTGAACGGGAGATGAGCCCCGATGCCTCGTTGCTGTGCGTGGGGGCAGGATGGGAGGCTGCTGCCCGAGTTCAACAAGATTGAGCCGCCACTCATCTTTGAGTGCAACCATTCGTGCAGCTGCTGGAGGAGCTGCAAGAACCGGGTGGTGCAGCACGGGATCAGGTGCGTGCAGCGTTCTGGCGTTTACCTGCGGCACGCGCGACCAAACAGCACCGGGCGCGCACTGGATGCTGGTCTGCAGTTGATTTATTTCTGGTCACCTGGGGCAGGGCCCACTCGCAACTAGACAGCTCTTTGTCAAGGGTGACCTCGGTGGGGAGAAGGGGGTTAAAGGGAGGATACAGAAAAATGAATCGTTGAAAATCTAAGATATAACTGCAAAACAATTTGAAAAGGAAACCCCACCACAGCAGCAGCAGATTGACTCTCAGGAACAGCCATTCAGACAGCATTGAAGACTGAATCAAAATACACAGTGGGTAGCGTGAAGGCAGCTAGCTGTAGATCTCGTATCGCCTTGTTCCGTCGTCAGTGTGGTTTTTACTCTGGGTAATTGTGTTTGCCTCCTCCCTCCCACGCCACCCCCCCACACTCCATCCATCACCACCACCACCACCGGCATGCAGGGTGCGCATGCAGCTGTACCGCACTGCCAAGATGGGCTGGGGCGTGCGTGCTCTGCAGGACATCCTGCCCGGCACCTTCATCTGCGAGTGAGTGACCGTCCCGTCCTGCTCCGACCCCCCCCCCCCCCCCCCCCCGCTCGTTAGTCACTGTGCTCGGTCTGTTCTCTGCGGCCATTGCTCGGTTTTTTTCCTCCTGTCGGAGGTCATCGCCGTTCCCCCGTGAGAGGAAGATGAAACTCAGCCTGTTTGCGTCGTGTTCATAACGCTTTCCCACTCAAGTCGAGAGAGTGTTTATGAATTGTCGCTCTGTCGCTCTATCCGTGCACCTGGCGGGACTGGGCGAGTCTCGGTAACTATCGTAAAGGTGATCCCATATGAACCCAGACTGAGTATAAAGTTCTGCTGCTATTTAGGACATACCCTGGTAAAGGCGAGGTGGCACGGGGGGACATGGCCAGCTCACGTGGCGTGTGCGTGGCGTGTGCGTGGCGTGTGCAGGTACGTGGGCGAGATAATCTCGGATGCCGAGGCGGACGTTCGCGAGGATGACTCGTACCTGTTTGATCTTGACAACAAGGTGTGTGGTGGACAATCGCGCCTCATCCTCCTCCATCCTCTCCTCCTCATACACCACCTCCTCGTCCTTCTCTTCCTCCTCTCCCCTCACCTGATATTTAACCATTGCGAGTCTTCCACTTTTCCCACCTTGACCACCCTGCACTTGGGCGGCTTTGTTCCAGTATGGTAATCTGCTAACGATAGCCGAATACACCCGCTCGGATGCGATTGCAGTGTAACATGTTGTGCCACAGTGGGCGAGTATCGATGAATCGCGCCCTGCGATTAAAAACCTCTTATCCCTCGGTCCGTCCATCCGTCTGTTCCGGCATTGGATTATGTGTGGCGATAGCGAATCGTCCGTCGCTGTCCAGGAGTCGTAATGGTGATGAAATTGGAGAGCGGGGCACGAGCGATTGTGGCAAGCCTCCGCCCATTGGTCCGCTCACGGCGCTGGCCGTTAAGCCTTGTGTTGGCGTTTTAAAAGCCACACACGTTGTGATAAAACCTCTTGTCTCTCTGAGAGCTGGAGGGTCATTGTGCAAAGAGCACCGTGATTACCATCTCGAGTGATATCATAATTAGCAAATGATTTGATCGTTTACTGTGAAAAGCCCCACCCGAATCTCGACCGTACCAGATACTCGTTTAAGTCAGAGCCAACCTAGGGGAAGCCCAAGTTAGGGCCACGTGCAAATTTCACATTAAAAATGGCAATGTTATTTATTTACTCGGGAATAGCCTCAACCAGTCCAAGACTTGTTCTCGGGAGGCTGCTGATCCATTGGGATGCTTGGCCAATGTATTAAATTCTGTCTTTCGTGTGGGAGGAGAGCAGCAGGGCTTGTTTGAAAGGTTGTGTTTGATGAACGGTGATTGGCCTACACAGCCCACAACCACGGGTGGTCACGTGACCTCTGTCTGCAATCTGATTGATGGCAGTTGCCTTCCCAGCGGTTGAAAAGGGGAAACTGCTATTCGATTTTGTCCAGATTTGGGAAACGGAATCTTTGCGCATCCATTGGCAGTCCTCGTTCGTTCGTGAGACGCACTGCAGAGAGAGAGGCAACGCGCGGAGGAGGAAGTTATGACCATTGGCAGTCACGATTGTCCTAAGTAATAACGATAACGATCAGTGTTTTCATATTGCAGCGTCGTTCATGCAAACTGCACCTTGCAACGCTGCGCAATACTGCAGAGCACTTGGATACATCTCTAGACTTGCTTTTCGCCAACGAGGGTTTATTCATGCGGGAGGAAACCTGGCGTTCACTCAGAAAACTCACACGTGCAAGGGGGCCACGCTGTATTCCATCCAGATGGAACGGATAGCGATTAGTGCACGCTTGTTGTACAGCACTTCTGGCAAGGCAGGGTATGGCACCTCGATGCTCGCACGACTTTCACCACACTGGCGCCGCGATCCACTGCTTCCTCCTGGCTGCTGGATTACAGGCAGCGCCGTGCAGCAGCGTAGCCACCACCTCCCAGGTGCATCTCTCGGGTGCATCACGGCCTCGGTGCGTGGATGTCCGTACTTCACCCCGTGTGTACGTGTCTGAGCAGGACGGAGAGGTGTACTGCATCGACGCGCGGTACTACGGGAACGTGAGCCGCTTCATCAACCACCTGTGCGAGCCCAACCTGGTGCCCGTGCGCGTCTTCATGTCGCACCAGGACCTTCGATTCCCTCGCATCGCCTTCTTTAGCAGCCGCCACGTGCTGGCTGGAGAGGAGCTCGGGTGAGGACACCACGCTCGCCGCGCTCACCACACCCGCGCGCAGATTCGCCGCACTAGCGTAACATACTGCTGCGCTAACATCCCATGCTAGCGGAAACCCGCACCACCGTATTTTCCCGCATATAACCCGCGGGGTATACCACTTTTTACAAACAAAACAAGACTCTGCGGGGTATATGGAGGTGCGGGATATCCCAAAAATATTTTACACGTGTGACACGTCATAACTCGTTTAATTTTTTCATGGTAGGACTATCCACTATGCAACACTTACCTTTGACTAAAGCACTGCTGAATAAACCACTCACATTAAAATTGCACATGTTATCACGTTTTAAATTATTCGAATTGTTTGTACAATGAAACGACAATGAAGTGGGCGCACGTTGTTTACCAGCGACGGGAGAGCTGGGGAGAGAGAGAGGAGGGGGGGGGTAGGGGGCGAGGCAGTGGCGTTACCGTAGTGCCGCTATTGTCTGTGCAGTACGCAATCTACCAGTGCTAAAACTGTACTTATCTAGCAATTATGTGTTACTTATTGGATATTTACTTTTGTTCCTAAATTACTGTTTTAAGTTCACTCGTTTCCGGTTAGTTTGTTTTCTTTGTGCACGTTATGATTTTAATGTTCACAATTGATAGTGGAATGTATTACAAATATAAACTTCGTATTAATATGATGGAATTAGACTGCGGTAACGACATTAAAGATATTAATGCATGAGGGGTATAGGGAGGTGCGAGCTATCTGAAATTTGTTTTACACAAAACGTTCTTTTTGCGGGGTATATGCGTCTGCGGGTTATATGCGTATGCGGGCTATATGAGGGAAAATACGGTAATTGCGTTATGTGAATGTGACACAATCCCAAGCGATCTTGTGAAAATAATACATGCAAAATAACACAACAGCCCAGCGTGGTGCTGGCCACGCTCCCCTCGTGTGCTGTGCCGGCCTTCACAGGTGCTACTCGCTTAAAGCACTTGCCCAACAGTCTTAAGGCTATACGGTGGGGGGGGGGGGGGTCTTTGTTTCTGTAGGTTTGACTATGGCGAACGGTTCTGGGACATCAAAAGCCGCTACTTCACGTGCCAGTGCGGCTCGGAGAAGTGCAAGCACTCCGCCGAGATGATCGCTCGCCGCCACGCGCAGGCTGAGGCGTCCGGCCTGCCGGGTCTCCTGGACGGCAGCGCCGGTGGCATCCCGCCGGCCCCGCCGCCGCCGCCGCCGCCAATCCCCGCCGCCCCCAACCGCGGCGCGGCCACTCCGTCGCCTCCCGTCTTCGGGCCGCAGAGTGAACATTTTGCGAGCGCGCTCAACAACGTGCACACGTACGCGCGCACGGTGTCGCCCGTGAATTCCTACGGGTCGCACAGCACGCACAGCAACCCGCCGCAGCGCCAGCCGCCCGCCACCCCCGCGGCCAGCCCCGGCCACAACGCCCACCCGGCAGCGGCGGTGGCGGCGGCCGTGCCGATTCCGCCGCCACCCCGTGCCGTGGCCTCCCCTCGCGACGACGCTCGCCCCACCGCCATCGTGCCGCCTCCGCCGCCACCGCCCCTGCACTGAGGGCCGCCCGGCCGGTGGACGCCGAGGTGGACACCCCCTCTCCTCCCCGCGTCATCGTCAAGACCCTGCGTCTAGCCCAGACTACTCGTCGTCGCGTGCTCTGCTCTGTGTCGCGCGTGTAGCGCAGGGCCAGCGAGTCGTCGCCGTCGTGGTGGTGGTGGTGGTAGCGGCGTTGATGGTGGTGGCGGTGCTGGTCGCGGACTTTGGGGCTGGCTCGCTGCCTGCTGCATGTGCTCCGAGTTGAATCCCGCACCCACAGGAGATGTCCTGGGAACTCCAGCTACGATTAAAGCTCACCGTTGTCCGTCCCTGGGTCTTGAACGCCACTGTGTTCCAAAGAGCTCTTGCCCCGGGAATTGACACCCATGGCCCCGGGGCCCCTCATACAAGGTCCTCGTGAAGCAGGTGGAGTGGCCAGTCAGGCTGGATCAACTCCGTGCCGGACGCCGGTTCCATTGCTGTGCCCTCCAGAAAGCATCTCCCTCTCTCATGCGAGGGTTTAGCTCTATTTGAGGCCAGACCCCCCCTCCCCCCGTAGGAGTGCACTAACTTGTAGATAGTGTTAGGTTGGACTGAACGGCTTTGGGCGTGAGCTGGGTGTCAGGTCAGTGATGCGCCGCTGCGCCCGCTTGGTGCTACGGTCCCTTGTGCTGCGTTGTTTGTGAGCGAGCCGAATGATGTGATTGGCTGGGTGGCTGGGATTCATTGGTGAGGGGGTGACGGATGGGAGTCACTGGGGGCTCTGTTTCCCCCCGCCCCCTTCATGCCCCTCCCCCCGAGTCCTCGTTTCAAACCGGTCGTTTGCGCTCGCAATGAAAGCCGCAGCACACGCAGCGCCGGAACCGCTCACGGCCCGTCCAGCAGTATTGGTCCCTTCGAGCGCCGCGTTAGAATCCTCCAATGGCTTCTGCTGAACCCCTCTGGTGACTGCGCCGACCGAGACGGCCACCCCCTCCCCCCGCCCCCCCCACACAATCGCACTCCCCTCTGGTGTGCCCGCATGATCGGTCCGGATTAAATATATTTTGAATCTATTTAAAGTTTGTAGGATTTTGGCGACACCAGTGGAGAAAGAGTGTGGGGGGTGGTCCTGGTCCCCCCAAGTACCTCCTCTAGCCTGACGGATGACGCAGGGAGCAACGAATGCTCCCTGCGTTGATGTGGACACCCCCCCCCCCCTCCCCTTTTACGCAGCGTGCGTCAATAACGAAAGGCACCATTTTATCGCGACGAAGAAGATGGTCACGTGTTTTTGTCTCCCCGCGGTGGTGTCGGTGAGGTTTGGTTGGGGCTCGGGCACTGTGGCTAGGGTTAGCGATGTGTTTTGCCGGTGCGTGGATTACCCGTAGGGTCGATGCGAGCTTTTTCGCGTTGCATTGCTGCGCCACTTAATCCAGCGCGAGACCGGAGTCGGATTCTGCCTCGGCTCGGATTCTTCTCTCCTGGATTCATTTCCGGAAAGGTTGAGTGGGGCGCAGGGCTAAGGGCAAAGCCCTGACCCCAGCCCCTCCTCATCATCGTGCGTGTATATGTGTGCGTGTGTGAGACTTGAGAGCGAATACTGTGTGCGTGTCATCGTATGTTTGTGACCGACTGTGTGGAGCGGTAGTGCGGCGGTTAAGACGCTACACTACAAACCTTGCGACCTAGGTTCGATTCCCACTCCCGGCCATCGGTGAAGATTATCTGAACCGATTCTAAGCCTCTCCTAAGTCTACTCAGCCTCAAATAGTACCTGGTGTGGTGTGTAAACATCTGCACTAGGGAGACGAAGGCGGCTGGGCGTAGTGCCTGCCACCCACCCCCTTGTCTGCTGTACCGGCCTTCATACCTGCTCGCTGAACAGCACTTGCTCCTACACTGTTAAGGCTACACGGGGTATCATTGTCTTTGTGCGTTTGTAACTGGGAGCGTTCATATGTGACAATAGAGCATGTATGTCCGAGTGTGAGCAACTGTGTGGCTTAATGTTATAATGGAGCTCTGTACATGTCTGGCTGTCTAAGACTGTGTGTAATGGGTGGTGGCGCAATCATTAGCGCGCTGCGCTGTGACCCCAGCAACCATTTGAGAGTGATCTCTAAACTGATCCTGGGCGTCCCCTAGGTCGATTCATCTTTAAATGAGCACCTGGTACAATTTGTAAAATGTTACTCCTGCAGACGAAAGGTGGCCAATTCATGGACGGGGGCCACACCATCCCATTTTGCTCTGTGCTGGCCTTAATATATTCTCGCAAACAATACTTGTCCACCCGGACTGTAAATGCAAGAAGGGGCATGATGGTTTTTATATTTGTGTAGAATATGAGTAAGATACGCGTGCACTGAAGTGTGCGTATTTACGGTAGTGTAGTGGTTAGCGCGCTGCACGGCAAACCCAGCAACCCGAGTTTGATTCCCGCTCATGGCCAACACAAGTGACGGATACCTGAACCGGTCCTGGGCCTCCCCTAGGTCGACTCGGCCTCAAATGGGTACCTGGTACGGTGTGTAAACATCGCCACTGGGGAGACAGCCAGCCGGGCGTGGCACTGGCCAGCCACGCCTCGTGTCTTGTGTGTAGAGGTATGCACAGAGTTCATGAATTTTGCTCTGCGCTCACACCCCCCTGCCCTTGCATCCAGAACCGTGTTTCCCTGCTGCACGCTCCGCTCACCTCTGGTACCGCACGCTGCAACCCAAATGTTGCGTTTCCCAGACATTTTGAAATCCGGCCTTCTTGGTCACAAGCGCGGTGACGGCTCACAGTTGTCCATGCGTCCACACATTCCTGCGCTTTGGCTGATAGGACCTGGTAATAAGGTGGGGGGGGGTTGCAAAATGAGTAATGAAGCGGTCTGATTTTATCTGTCGTGAGCTCTACTTTAGGTTGCATCTCCTGTGTCTATTTGGATGAAATATTTTACCAGCATTTTTACTTGACTAAGAATTTAGGGGGGTTCTGTGCTATCGGTAGGGGAGACTCAGTCCCCTCCATCCCACCCAACCCCGCTTGTGTTCCTAACGTCGTGCAACACTGAAACACGCTTCTGTCAGTTTCACAACTTGGTTGCAAGCAACTGAAATGCTCGTATGTGGACGGCTCTGCAACCGGTTGCGAACAGCAGCGCAACCGGTTGCGATCCGCACGGCGATATGTAACGAAGTATTTCATCACCATGTGACGCTTTCGCAAACTGTGATTGGTTGTTACAATCCCGAATGACACGCCGTTTCATTTCGTCGCACACCTAATCGCCCGGGTTTGGACACAGCAGTTGCAGGCGATTGATACAATTGCGCGCTGTGGTTTGTGCAACCATTCGTGATTTTATTGCTGGAGGTTCGTACGTGTTGAGACGGTGGTATTGATAAGATTCAGGACGCAGCCCAGAGCTAGACCCACTCCGCTGCTAGCTACCATGTCTGCGTGGACCAGCACGCGGGCAAGAGAGCCACGGTAAATAGTTTTTTTTTATGTGCGTATGCATTCGACGATGACATGGCAGGCGCGTGCTGTTGCACAGACATCTGCTGCTTGAATCATCTGGATCTGCAGGCGTTGGTTAATGGTAAAATGTGGATAATGTCACAATTGTTTTAATGTCAATAAAACCCTCACCGATCATTTTACGCCGGCCTGCACGTGACAATGATGTGCCTCAGGGAAGGAAATGCAAATAGCAAGCATTGGAAGGAGTGGCTACACGTGGTGGGTGTGTGGTTCTGGCCACCAACCACCACCACAACCACCACACCGTGACAGTGGTGGTGCAAGTGTGTAAGTGGGTGGGTTACCAAGTGACTTGGCAAATGAAATAGTGGCTGAGTGGTTGAGCGAGTGGGTGAGTTACTTGGAGAGTGAATGAGTAGGTGAGTGAGTGGTTGGGCTGCCACCTCTTCCTCAGACCAACCCGCACATGTTTCTCAAATTAAACGCAACGATCCCGGCACCAGATCTCAATACAAATCGACCCCTGATGCCACTTGGAAACACGCGGTGCCGATCCCCGGACACGTGGCAGCCCAATAACCCACCACTTCACTCCTGTAGCTTGGGAGTTGCTCCTCGACGTGGACACCATTCGTCCTTTCTCCATCACCTTGTCACCTTGTGCCATCAGGTCGAGTACGACCTCTGGTGACATCCACGACCAGACTCCGACTTCCACACCGCCTGTCTCTCGCTGCCTCGTAGCTGGGTTAGTGTGAGGCCAGGGGCAGTGTTCTTGATGTCGTCCATCCACCTCGGAGGTCGACCTCTGCTCCTGTTACCTTCTCCATTCTCAAGCAACACCGATTCATCTCGTCAAGAGGTCCTCGTGACGTGTCCGAAGTATGTCAATGTATGCTTCACGAATAAGGCCTTCAGTGGAAGAGTGGGACCGATCTCTCCCCGTCTTCAGCAACCAAGGCGCCCAGAAATACAAAGTTCTGCACAACTTGGTTAATTTTTCCAGACTAAATGAGTTTAGTTCTGTCGCCATCACCTTCGTCTGTTGGAGATTGAGGCAGAATCCGGCCTTTTCTCTCGCGCCTCTTTAATATTTACCAACAGGGTCATCATTTCAACTTAGCTATTTGCTCGGCGGGTGGTATCAGCATATCTTAAGTTGTTTCTTCTGCCTGCAATCTTCACGCCTGCTAAGATGGAATCCAGGCCTGCCTCTCGCATAATAATCTCCCTGTACAAATTGAACAGGGAAGGAGACGGCACACAGCCCTGTGCCTTACTCCTTTCCCAATGTCAAATTCTTGTCTCCCCCATACTCTGTTCTAACCTTCGTTTTTTGGCTGGCACAGATTACGTAACAGGCACGAGGTGAGTTGGCATTCCCATCTCCTTCATTCTAATCCACATTAGTGCATGGTCCACACAATCAGAAACTTTGCCGTATGAGAATAGGTTTTCCCATTTTTTCTGGCAACAAAACAGGTGTTAAGATGTTAAAACATCAAACTGAAGCCTTTTACAAGGAATCATGTCTGCATTAACCACAATGCTTGTGGTCAGAATGCAAACAAAAAACATACTCTTATAATTTACATTCTGAGACCTTTGCCAGTAGCAAGATATAGTAATAGGTTTTTACCCTTTTATCTGGCACAAAAACTGACACCTTTATACAAGGGATCATGTTTGCGATAACCACAACACAAGTCAAAATGCAAACAAAAAAGACAACTGATAATGATATGCACTGTCCTTGAATTTGATTGGTCCACACCTGAGACGGCTTTTCTTAGAGCCTAGTCTCCAATGGTGTTGGACCAGAAGACGCCAAAAGGCGTACAACTCAAAAACACCATTGGAAACCTCATTTCCCAGTAACAAAATATGATAATTTGTTTTTTACCCTTTTATCTGGCAACAAAACTGACACCTTTTTTTACAAGGAGTCATGTTTACATTGACCACAATACCTGCGGTCGGAACGCAAACAAACAACAACTCTGATAATGTATGCACTGTCCTTGAAATTGATTGGTCCACACCCGAGACAGCTTTCTTTAGAGCCTCGTCTCACATGGTGTTAGACCAGAAGACGCCAAAAGGCGCACAACTCATAGACAATGCACCATCAGAGTATGAGAGCTCGGGGAAGCATATACACCATTGTAAACCTCATTTGCCAGTAACAATATGATAATTGTTTTTTTTTACCCTTTTATCTGGCACAAAAACTGACACCTTTATACAGACTGGGCTCTAAGAAAAGCCGTCTCGGGTGTGGACCAATCAAATTCAAGGACAGTGCATATTATCAGAGTTGTCTTTTTTGTTTGCATTTTGACTACTTGTGTTGTGGTTATCGCAAACATGATCCCTTGTATAAAGGTGTCAGTTTTTGTGACAGATAAAAGGGTAAAAAACCTATTTCTATACTCTGATAATATTTGCATTGTCCTTGAAACTGATTGGTCCACATCAGAGACAGCTTTCTTTGTCTCAAACGGTGTTCGACCAGAGGACGCCAAAAGGCGAACAGCACAAAGACAATTCCACTATCAGAGTAATGAGATCTCGGGGTGAGCAGCTACATCATGGGACCTCCTTTGCCAGTACCAAAATATGAGAACAGGTTTTCCCCTTTTCCCTGGCACGCCTTGTGGCGTCCTCCGGTCTAACACCGTTTTGAGACGAGGCTCAAAAGAAAGCTGTCTCTGGTGTGGACCATTCAGTATCAAAGACAATGCCACATTATCAGAGTGTTTTTTTGTTTGTTTTCATCCTGACAAGCATTGTGGTTAATGCAGACATGATTCCTTGTAAAAGGTTTCAGTTTGGTGTTTTAACATCTTAGCACCTGCTTTGTTGCCAGAAAAAAGGGGAAAACCTATTGTAATATATTGGCACTGTCATCGGACGTCCCCTGATGTAGTTTTGCTGCAGTCAATGAAGCAAAGGGACAGCTGTTGCCGGTATTCGTTTGATATTTCCATTCTCCGTCTTGGTGTGTTTGTAATTTAGTCTTTTGATCTTTTTCGATTTAAAGCTTTCGTGACTGCAGGGATTCATCTTCTTGGTTCTTTCGGTAAAGTCACGTAGAAGGGAAATAATAAAATTAAAACACAATAAAGTAAAATTCTCACGACGTTTCGGCCACAACACAAGTAGCCTTCCTCAGGTGAAGAAACAGAACTGTCGGAAAGACAGCGCTCCAATGAACACTGCTAAGCTTGGCAGCGTATTTTAGCTGGGTGGGAGGAGCAGAGCGCCTTGACAGAGGAGTTTACATATCAACAGAAGAATTTAGCATTGAAGTAGCTGTGTTAATGTGATAGATCACGCATTACCTCTCCCTGCACGTGACACGAGAATAAAGTATTCCTTTCACACATCCCATCAACCACAATGCTTCCTCCTGGTAGTTTAATTTCAGCAGCGTTGGTGCAACACGAGCAAAACTCTGGACCGAATTTGACGTTCAACGTCTCATCAGCAGAGTTGGGCGCGCACTGATTGTGGAAACGTGTTCAGAGTGCCTCTGTTGAAGCAAAGTTGTTGAAATTATCCATCGCAGGTAAGCATGTGGAAGAGTTCCGATTAATTTGTATCTACAGCTACAGAAGAGTCGAGATTTGTAGCTATTAGAGAAGAGTCGAGGTTTGTAGAGAAGAGTCGAGATTTGTAGCTGATAGAGAATAGTCGAGGTTTGTAGTTAATAGGGAAGAGTCGAGGTATGTAGTTAATAGGGAAGAGTCGAGGTATGTAGTTAATAGAGAAGAGTCGAGGTTTGTAGCTGACAGAGCAGAGTCGAGGTTTGTAAAGAAAGAGTCGAGGTTTGTAGCTAATAGAGAAGAGTCGAGGTTTGTAGAGAAGAGTCGAAGTTTATAGCTAATAGAGAGGAGTCGAGATTTGTAGCTAATAGAGAAGACTCGAGGTTTGTAGCTAATAGAGAAGAGTCGAGATTTGTAGAGAAGAGACGAGGTTTGTAGCTAAGAGTCGAGGTTTGTAGCTAATAGAGAAGAGTCGAGCTTTGTAGTAAAGAGTCGAGGTTTGTAGCTAATACAGAAGAGTCGAGATTTGTAGCTAATAGAGAGGAGTCGAGCTTTTGTAGCTGATAGATAAGAGTCGAGATTTGTAAAGAAGAGTCGAGGTTTGTAGCTAATACAGAAGAGTCAAGGTTTGTAGCTAATAGAAAAGAGTCAAGATTTGTAGCTAATAGAGCAGAGTCGAGGTTGTAGAGAAAGTCGAGGTTTGTAGTTAAAAAATAAGAGTCAAGGTTTGTAGCTAATAGAGCAGAGTCGAGTTTTGTAGCTAATAGAGCAGAGTCGAGGCTTGTAGCTTATAGAGAAGAGTCGAGGTTTGTAGTTAAAAAAGAAGAGTCGAGGTTTGTAGCTAATAGAGAAAAGTCGAGTTTTGTAGCTAATAGAGCAGAGTCGAGGTTTGTAGAGAAGAGTCGAGTGTTGTAGTTAATAGAGAAGAGTCGAGGTTTGTAGCTAATAGAGAAGCGTCGAGGTTTGTAGAAAAGAGTCCAGATTTGTAGAGAAGAGCCGAGGTTTGTAGAGAAGAGTCGAGATTTGTAGCTGATAGAGAAGAGTCGAGATTTGTAGCTGATGGAGAAGAGTCGAGGTTTGTAGCTAATAGAGAGGAGTCGAGGTTTGTAGAGAAGAGTCGAGGTTTGTAGAGAAGAGTCGAGGTTTGTAGCTAATAGAGAAGAGTCGAGATTTGTAGCTGATAGAGAAGAGTCGAGGTTTGTAGCTGATGGAGAAGAGTCGAGTTTTGTAGAGTAGAGTCGAGGTTTGTAGAGAAGAGTCGAGGTTTGTAGCTGATAGAGAAGAGTCGAAGTTTGTAGCGAAGAGTCGAGCTTTGTAGCTAATAGAGAAGAGTCGAGGTTTGTAGAGAAGAGTCGAAGTTTGTAGAGAAGAGTCGAGATTTGTAGCTGATAGAGAAGAGTCGAGGTTTGTAGAGATGAGTCGAGATTTGTAGAGATGAGTCGAGCTTTGTAGATGAGTCGAGGTTTGTAGGTGATGGAGAAGAGTCGAGGTTTGTAAAGAAGAGTCGAGATTTGTAGCTGATAGAGAAGAGTCGAAGTTTGTAGCTAAGAGTCGAGGTTTGTAGCTAATAGAGAAGAGTCGAGGTTTGTAGCTGATAGAGAAGAGTCGAGTTTTGTAGCTAATAGAGAAGAGTCGAGATTTGTAGCTGATAGAGAAGAGTCGATTTTTGTAGCTAAGAGTCGAGGTTTGTAGCTAATAGAGAAGAGTTGAGGTTTGTAGCTGATAGAGAAGAGTCGAGATATGTAGAGAAGAGTCGAGATTTCTAGAGAAAAGTCGAGATTTGTAGCTGATAGAGAAGAGTCGAGATTTGTAGCTAATAGAGAAGAGTCGAGATTTGTAGAGAAGTCGAGATTTGTAGCTGATAGAGAAGAGTCGAGGTTTGTAGCTAAGAGTCGAGGTTTGTAGCTAATAGAGAAGAGTTGAGGTTTGTAGCTGATAGAGAAGAGTCGAGGTTTGTAGAGAGGAGTCGAGATTTCTAGATAAGAGTCGAGATTTGTAGCTGATAGAGAAGAGTCGAGGTTTGTAGCTGATAGAGAAGAGTCGAGCTTTGTAGCTAATAGAGAAGAGTCGAGGTTTGTAGAGAAGAGTCGAGTTTTGTAGCTGATAGAGAGGAGTCGAGCTTTGTAGCTAAGAGTCGAGATTTGTAGCTAATAGAGAAGAGTTGAGATTTGTAGCTGATAGAGAAGAGTCGAGATTTCTAGAGAAGAGTCGAGGTTTCTAGAGAAGAGTCGAGATTTGTAGCCGATAGAGAAGAGTCGAGGTTTGTAGCTAATATAGAAGAGTCGAGGTTTGTAAAGAACAGTCGAGATTTGTAGCTGATAGAGAAGAGTCGAAGTTTGTAGCTAAGAGTCGAGATGTAGCTGATAGAGAAGAGTCGAGATTTGTAGCTGATAGAGAAGAGTCGAGGTTTGTAGCTAATAGAGAAGAGTCGAGCTTTGTAGCTAATAGAGAAGAGTCGAGGTTTGTAGAGAAGAGTCGAGGTTTGTAGCTGATAGTGAAGAGTCGAGGTTTGTAGCTAAGAGTCGAGATTTGTAGCTAATAGAGAAGAGTTTGAGGTTTGTAGCTGATAGAGAAGAGTCGAGGTTTCTAGAGAAGAGTCGAGATTTCTAGAGAAGAGTCGAGCTTTGTAGCTAATAGAGAAGAGTCGAGGTTTGTAGAGAAGAGTCGAGATTTCTAGAGAAGAGTCGAGGTTTGTAGCTGATAGAGAAGAGTTGAGATTTGTAGCTGATAGAGAAGAGTCGAGATTTGTAGCTAATAGAGAAGAGTCGAGATTTTTAGAGAAGAGTCGAGGTTTGTAGAAAGAGTCGAGGTTTGTAGCCGACAGCCCGGTACGTGGGCACACTGCAGCGTGATAAACAAGGCCGACTCAACCTCGGGGACAGCCCAGACGACATCCACCACAATGGGTCGATGGCGTCACCACGGCGCTTGTGCCAGTCTAGGTGCACTTTGACAACCCTTCGGTGATCAGCCTGCACAAGCTGGGGGCAGAGCGCCATCGACGGTGGGTTTCGCCTTCAGCTCTGATCCCACGCGCCACCGCCAGATGGGAGCAGGCGACCAGGCGATCCCAGCAGCGTTCGCGACCCCAACTCCCTCCCTCCCTCACATGCTCTGAGACCTCGCGTGATGGATGCAACGCGGCCCAGCGCTCGCACCCGGAGCCCCCACACCGCTCCACGCCGCGCGAGCTGCCCACCCACCCACCCGCCCCCTAATTAGCTAATCCCCCCTTACCCGACTCCCGCTCCACCATCCTCCTTAATTGATGCCCCCACCCCCCACACCGCTCCCACCCCATCCCCGGCGCGCACGTTCCCTGATCCCCCTAATTATCGCCCCCCCCCCACCACCTCCCATCTCTACTGCACCCCCCGCAGAGCCCGTCGCATCACGCGTTCCGGCATCAAGAGAGGGGAGGCGGGGGGGACAAAATTGGGGGAGAGAGGGGGGGGGTCTAGCCTATTGGCACGGAGTGCGGGGGGGGCAGAAGGGGGAGGGGGGCGGGGTAGATGTGCGGGGTGTGGTCACGTGCACACCCCCCCCCCCCCCTTCTTCGCCAGAGAGAGAGAGCGCGTAGAGGGAGGAGAGAGCAGAGAGAGGGGAGAGAGAGGAGAGGGAGGAGAGTGGAGCAGCAATTCCTCCCAGCCCCGCAGTCGCAGTCACAAACCCTGGGGCTGGACACCAGGCCAGACGGACAGCCGGAGAGCCGGGCAGGCAGGCGTCTGTCTCGTCATCGCGGCAGACAGCCAGCCTCGCCTGCGGGACGCTGTGAGCCCGGCAGACAGACAGAGAGACAGGCAGACAGACAGGCAGACAGAGAGACAGGCAGACAGACAGGCAGACAGAGAGACAGACAGAGAGACAGGCAGACAGACAGGCAGACAGACAGACAGAGAGACAGGCAGACAGACAGAGAGACAGGCAGACAGACAGGCAGAAAGAGAGACAGGCAGACAGACAGGGAGACAGAGAGACAGGCAGACAGACAGACAGAGAGACAGGCAGACAGAGAGACAGGCAGAGAGACAGGCAGAGAGACAGGCAGACAGACAGGCAGACAGACAGGCAGACAGACAGGCAGACAGAGATACAGGCAGACAGACAGGCAGGCGGTAGGCCAGTCGGACCAGCGGGCATCTGAGGCACCCGGGCGAACAGCGAGCAGTGAGGCAGGCGGAGCTCCGTGCAGCCCCGGCGATGTCTCCTCGTCGCCAATCGCAGCCCGCTCGGGATTTCTCCGGGATCGCCGAAACGTGAGAGGAGGGCTGACTCACCCATTGCCCTGCAGGATCAAGCTCACTCCCTGCAGGATCAAGTTCACTCCCTGCAGGATCAAGTCCACTCCCTGCAGGATCAAGTCCACTCCCTGCAGGATCAAGTCCACTCCCTGCAGGATCAAGCTCACTCCCTGCAGGACCAAGTTCACTCCCTGCAGGATCAAGTCCACTCCCTGCAGGATCAAGTCCACTCCCTGCAGGATCAAGTTCACTCCCTGCAGGATCAAGTCCACTCCCTGTAGGATCAAGTCCACTCCCTGCAGGACCAAGTCCACTCCCTGCAGGATCAAGTCCACTCCCTGCAGGATCAGGCTCACTCCCTGCAGGATCAAGTTCACTCCCTGCAGGACCAAGTCCACTCCCTGCAGGATCAAGTTCACTCCCTGCAGGATCAGGCTCACTCCCGGCAGGATCAAGTCCACTCCCTGCAGGATCAAGTTCACTCCCTGCAGGATCAAGTCCACTCCCTGTAGGATCAAGCCCACTCCCTGTAGGATCAAGTTCACTCCCTGCAGGATCAAGTCCACTCCCTGCAGGATCAAGTTCACTCCCTGCAGGACCAAGTCCACTCCCTGCAGGATCAAGTCCACTCCCTGCAGGATTAAGTTCACTCCCTGCAGGATCAAGTTCACTCCTTGCAGGATCAAGTCCACTCACTGCAGGATCAAGTTCACTCCCTGCAGGATCAGGCTCACTCCCTGTAGGATCAAGTCCACTCCCTGCAGGATCAAGTTCACTCCCTGCAGGACCAAGTCCACTCCCTGCAGGATCAAGTCCACTCCCTGCAGGATTAAGTTCACTTTCTGCAGGATCAAGTCTACTCCCTGCAGGATTAAGTTCACTCCCTGCAGGATCAAGTTCACTCCCTGCAGGATCAAGTTCACTTTCTGCAGGATCAAGTGCACTCCCTGGAGGATTAAGTTCACTCCCTGCAGGACCAAGTCCACTCCCTGCAGGATCAAGTCCACTCCCTGCAGGATCAAGTTCACTCCCTGCAGGACCAAGTCCACTCCCTGCAGGATTAAGTTAACTCCCTGCAGGATCAAGTTAATTCCCTGCAGGATCAAGTCCACTCCCTGCAGGATCAAGCTCACTCCCTGCAGGACCAAGTTCATTCCCTTCAGGATTAAGTCCACTCCCTGCAGGATCAAGTTCACTCCCTGCAGGATTAATCTTCCTTCTACGCAAGAGCGAGAATCGCTCCTTCCTGGAGGGGCTCCTGTGTTCCAGTTACGGTTACATCGGGTGAGGTGTGCGTGAGATGGTGAGGTGTGCGTGGTAGGGTGAGGTGTGCGTGGGAGGGTGAGGAGTGCGTGGGAGGGTGAGGTGTGCGTGGGAGGGTGAGGAGTGCGTGGTAGGGTGAGGTGTGCGTGGTAGGGTGAGGAGTGCGTGGGAGGGTGAGGAGTGCGTGGGAGGGTGAGGTGTGCGTGGTAGGGTGAGGACTGCGTGGGAGGGTGAGGAGTGCGTGGGAGGGTGAGGAGTGCGTGGGAGGGTGAGGAGTGCGTGGGAGGGTGAGGTGTGCGTTGGAGGGTGAGGAGTGCGTGGGAGGGTGAGGAGTGCGTGGGAGGGTGCGTTAGCGGATGAGGTGAGAGCGTCAAGGCGTGTGTCAGTGGTGAGCATGGGAGTGAAATGGTGAGTGTGTGAGGAAGTATATGAGGATGAAGTTGAGTGAGAGGTTGAGTGAGTGCGAGGGTGAGTGAGGCATCGAGTGGGTGGGTGAGCGAGTGGATGGTTGAGTCGAGGTGTGCGTGACAGGGTGAGTGAGAGGATGACAGGGTGAGTGAGAGGATGACAGGGTGAGTGCGATGGTGAGTGTGAGTGAGTGGGAAACGCAGAGAACAGATTAGCGCGTTCCGGCGCTACCACGACCAGAATCTCACCACCATCTCCACCACCACCACCACCTCCACCACCACCACCACCACCACCTCCACCACCACCTGGCCCATCGCCACCTCCACCACCTCCACCACCACCACCATCACCTCCACCACCACCACCACCATCACCTCCACCACCACCTCCACCACCACCACCACCTCCACCACCACCACCACCACCTCCACCACCACCACCTCCACCACCACCACCTCCACCACCACCTGGCCCATCGCCACCACCTGCACCGCCGCCGTGGCCACCATGAGCCGCTACGGGGACGAGATGGGGGGGGGATCTGGGCGAGGGGGCCGCGGGCCCCACGCAGGAGGCGCAGCGCCGGGGGGTCGCCGCCAGATCTACAAGCAGTCGATGGCCCAGAGGGCGCGCACCATGGCCATCTACAACCCCATCCCCGTGCGGCAAAGCTTCCTCACCCTCAACCGCTCCCTCTTCCTCTTCAGCGAGGACAACGCGGTCCGCAAGTACGCCAAGCGCATCACCGAGTGGCCATATCCTTGCAGCGTGCCCGTCCCGTCGTGGCCCACCAACCCCACCGGTCGCGTCAACCCCACTACCCCCACCAATCCCACTACCCCCACCAATCCCACTACCCCCACCAACCTCACCAACCCCACTACCCCCACCAACCCCCACCAACCCCACTACCCCCACCAACCCCACTACCCCCACCAACCCCACTACCCCCACCAACCCCACTACCTCCACTACCCCCACCAACCCCCTTACCCCCACCAACCCCACTACCCACACCAACCCCCACCAACCCCCCTACCCCTACCAACTCCACTACCCCCACCAACTCCACTACCCCCACCAACTCCACTACCCCCACCAACTCCACTACCCCCACCAGCCCCACTACCCCCACCAACTCCACTACCCCCACCAACTGCACTACCCCCACCAACCCCACTACCCCCACCAACCCCCACCAACCCCACTACCCCCACCAACCCCCCTACCCCCACCAACCCCACTACCTCCACTACCCCCACCAACCCCCCTACCCCCACCAACCCCACTACCCCCACCAACTCCACTACCCCCACCAACCCCACTACCCCCACCACCCCCACCAACCCCACTACCCCCACCAACCCCCACCAACCCCACTACCCCCACCACCCCCACCAACCCCCCTACCCCCACCAACCCCACTACCCCCACCGACCCCACTACTCCCACCAACCCCACTACCCCCACCGATCCCACTACTCCCACCGACCCCACAACCCCCACCGACCCCACTACCCCCACCAACCTCACTACCCCCACCAACTCAACCAACCTCACTACCCCCACTACCCCCACTACCCCCACCAACTCCACTACCCCCACTACCCCCACCGACCCCACTACCCCCACCGACCCCACTACCCCCACCAACCCCCACCAACCCCACTACCTCTACCGACCCAGTTCTAGAGGCCGGCCGGCATTGTCGTCGCGGTGGTAGTGGTGGTTGGTAGTGGTGGTTGGTAGTGCTGGTTGGTAGTGCTGGTTGGTAGTGCTGGTTGGTAGTGCTGGTTGGTAGTGCTGGTTAGTGGTGGTGGTTGGTAGTGGTGGTTGGTAGTGCTGGTTGGTAGTGGTGGTTGGTAGTGCTGGTTGGTAGTGGTGGTTGGTAGTGCTGGTTGGTAGTGCTGGTTGGTAGTGCTGGTTGGTAGTGCTGGTTAGTAGTGGTGGTTGGTAGTGCTGGTTGGTAGTGCTGGTTGGTAGTGCTGGTTGGTAGTGCTGGTTGGTAGTGGTGGTTGGTAGTGCTGGTTGGTAGTGCTGGTTGGTAGTGCTGGTTGGTAGTGCTGGTTAGTAGTGGTGGTTGGTAGTGGTGGTTGGTAGTGCTGGTTGGTAGTGGTGGTTGGTAGTGCTGGTTGGTAGTGGTGGTTGGTAGTGTTGGTTGGTAGTGGTGGTTGGTAGTGGTGGTTGGTAGTGGTGGTTGGTATTGCTGGTTAGTAGTGGTGGTTGGTAGTGCTGGTTGGTAGTGGTGGTTGGTAGTGGTGGTTGGTAGTGCTGGTTGGTAGTGGTGGTTGGTAGTGCTGGTTGGTAGTGTTGGTTGGTAGTGCTGGTTGGTAGTGGTGGTGAGATGGGGGTGGGGGTTTGGTGATAATTAGCGGTGGCGGTGATGATGGTGGTCTTGGTGGTGGCGGTGATGATGATGATGGTGTTGCTGGTGATGATGGTGGTGTTGGTGTTGGTGATGATGATGATGGTGGTGTTGCTGGTGATGATGGTGGTGTTGGTGGTGGTGATGATGATGGTGGTGTTGATGGTGGTGATGATGGTGGTGTTGATGGTGATGATGGTGGTGTTGGTGGTGGTGGTGGTGGTGATGATGATGATGGTGTTGTTGATGGTGTTGTTGGTGGTGATGATGGTGGTGTTGATGGTGATGATGGTGGTGTTGGTGGTGGTAGTGGTGATGATGATGATGGTGTTGTTGATGGTGTTGTTGGTGGTGATGATGGTGGTGTTGGTGGTGATGATGGTGGTGTTGGTGGTGATGTTGATGATGATGGTGTTGTTGTTGGTGGCGGTGATGATGATGATGGTGTTGTTGGTGGTGATGATGATGTTGTTGGTGGTGGTGATGATGATGGTGTTGTTGTTAGTGGCGGTGATGATGATGATGGTGTTGTTGGTGGTGATGATGGTGGTCTTGGTGGTGATGATGGTGGTGTTGGTGGTGATGTTGATGGTGTTGTTGTTGGTGGTGGTGATGATGATGATGATGGTGTTGTTGTTGGTGGTGATAATGATGATGGTGTTGTTAGTGGTGGTGATGATGATGGTGTTGGTGGTGGTGATGATGATGATGTTGGTGTTGTTGCTGTTGGTGGTGATGATGATGGTGTTCTTTATTTGGGTTGTGATGACGTGAAAAGGCTTGTCCCTCACAACAGCAAACACCCCTCCTGTGACGACATGATGACAACATGATGACGAGGGCAGGTTGCAGCAAGTAAGATGTTGACTCTCAGAATGTCCACGGTGGTGATGATGGTGATGGTGGTGATGGTGGTGATGGTGATGATGGTGGTGATGGTGGTGATGGCGGTGGTGATGGTGATGATGGTGGTGGTGGTGGTGATGATGGTGGTGGTGATGGTGGTGATAATGGTGATGATAGTGATGATGGTGGTGATGGTGGTGATGATGGTGGTGATGGTGGTGGTGATGGTGGTGATGGTGGTGATGGTGGTGATGGCAGTGGTGATGGTGATGATGGTGGTGGTGGTGATGATGGTGGTGGTGATGGTGGTGATGATGATGGTGGTGGTGGTGGTGATGGTGGTGGTGATGGTGGTGATGATGGTGGTGGTGATGGTGGTGATGATGGTGGTAATGGTGGTGGTGATGGTGGTGATGGTGATGATGGTGGTGATGGTGGTAATCATCTGCTCGTTGTCACCCCGTGATGCCGCAAACTCCACGTTGAGACGGCGAGTCGCACTTGCTTCTAATCGCAGTAATTGCCGGTATGTGAATTATTGAAGAGAAGGGAGATCTCCCCAGCCCCTCCCTCCTCCCCTCCCCCTCCCTCCTCCCCTCCCTCCCCTTCTTCCCCTCCCCCTCCCTCCTCCCATCCCCCCTCCCTCCTCCCCTTGCATTTGCTCGCCTTCTTGCTCCTTCGCGCGGTTGGCCACGGATGAGGCTCAAAGTTCCGCACAGATGGATTCAGGAATCAATTTCCGCGCCGTACTGAACTGCCACGGTTTAGAGGTCACCTTGTAGTCCAAACCGAGAGCACCTGGGGGTGTACCCAGGCCGTCTCCCGTCCCAGCACTGTCGGGGTGTTCCGAGGGGGTTGTGCGTGGCGAGTTGGGAGAGTTCGTGACGGGGGAGTCACGGGGTCGTCGCCACAGTGACACACAAACAAATGAATATCAAGGAGACGAATAGCAGTCGGAGCAAGAACAACGGTGTCGTCACGCGCGAGACGTGTGACGACGCAGGTGAGGGTGCAGGTGTGTGTGGGTACGGGGGGAATCGTTGTCTCTTGTCAGGGCGTGTGGGTGACGCTGTGGCAGTGTGCGGCTTGGGGTGTTGTACACGGTGTGAGGTAAGGATATTAGGGTGTGATGGTGCAGTGTGTGTGTGGGTCAGGTTGTGCTGGCACAGTGGGGAGCATCTGCCAGTCATCTCAGTCAGTCAACCCATGGCACCTGGGTCAGTCACGTGACCTCCTGTTGATGGGGGTGTGAGCGTGTGTGTGTTGGTGGGGGTGTGAGCGTGTGGGTGTTGACGGGGGTGTGAGCGTGTGGGTGTTGGTGGGGGTGTGACCGTGTGGGTGTTGGTGGGGGTGTGACCGTGTGTGTGTTGGTGGGGGTGTGAGCGTGTGGGTGTTGGTGGGGGTGTGAGCGTGTGGGTGTTGGTGGGGGTGTGACCGTGTGAGTGTTGGTGGGGGTGTGAGCGTGTGGGTGTTGGTGGGGGTGTAATTGTGGGTGTTGGTGGGGGTGTGACCGTGTGGGTGTTGGTGGGGGTGTGAGCGTGTGGGTGTTGGTGGGGGTGTGAGTGTGTGGGTGTTGGTGGGGGTGTAATTGTGTGGGTGTTGGTGGGGGTGTGAGCGTGTGGGTGTTGGTGGGGTGTGACCGTGTGGGTGTTGGTGGGGGTGTAATTGTGTGGGTGTTGGTGGGGGTGTGAGCGTGTGGGTGTTGGTGGGGGTGTGAGTGTGTGGGTGTTGGTGGGGGTGTGAGCGTGTGGGTGTTGGTGGGGGTGTGGGCGTGTGGGTGTTGGTGGGGGTGTGAGCGTGTGGGTGTTGGTGGGGGTGTAATTGTGTGGGTGTTGGTGGGGGTGTAATTGTGTGGGTGTTGGTGGGGGTGTGAGCGTGTGGGTGTTGGTAGGGGTGTAATTGTGTGGGTGTTGGTCGGGGTGTAATTGTGTGGGTGTTGATGGGGGTGTAATTGTGTGGGTGTTGGTGGGGGTGTAATTATGTGGGTGTTGGTCGGGGTGTAATTGTGTGGGTGTTGGTGGGGGTGTAATTGTGTGGGTGTTGGTGGGGGTGTGAGCGTGTGGGTGTTGGTGGGGGTGTAATTGTGTGGGTGTTGGTGGGGGTGTGAGTGTGTGGGTGTTGGTGGGGAGCTGTGGCGCAGTAGCTGGGCCGGGGTGTGAAGAATCATTTGGGAGACAAAGGCGGCAGGGCGTGGTGCTGGCCACCCAGCCCCTCGTGTGCCGCGTCGGCCTTCATAACAGCACTTGCCTCGGCAGTCTGTTAAAGGCTATACGGGGGATCTTTGTACCTAGATATGCGTGTGTGTTTATCTGCGTGTCTCAATGCGTGTATGCATTTCTGGATGTGCGTGTGAGTGTGTATGTTTATGTATACGCGTGTCTTTGCGTACATGTGTTTGTGTGTACGTGTGTTTGTGTGTTCGTGTGTTTGTTGCGTGTCTGTGTTTATGTGCCTGTGTGTTTGTGTCTGCGCTTTTGTCTGTATATATGCACCTATGTTTCTGTGTGTGTGTGCGCGCGTGCTTATACCCGTACTGGTTTTCGTCTAGATACACTCAGCCTTAAACAAGTATCTTGGTGCGGCGTGTAAGCGTCCGCACTGGGTGAAAAAAAAGCGACCGGGCGTGGTGCTGGCCACCGCACCCCCATGCGCCGTGCCCACTTTCATAGGTGCTCGCTCACAGCACTTGCCCCGACAATCTGTGGAGGCTATACGGGAGGATCTTTGTCTGTGTCGTCTATTATGTAAGTGTGTGTGTGTGTCAGTGCGCGTATTTGTCGCGGTTGAATGGGCTGGCAGCACCTTCTTCACGTTCAATCCCCTCCGAGCCTTTTATATTGAAAACAAAATCCGTGGAAGTTCCGTCCCCACCGCCATCTCTCTCCGAGGGCTGCCGCGGATATCCACTGCGATCTCTCGTTAACGGCGACTGGGCGAAATGTGATTTGGGTCAACGGGCGCGATTTGTCATTTTCGCTTTGAAGGTCCATTGCCCGAAACGTCGCCTATTATGTAACGTATCCGCTTGAGAGCAGTGCGTGTTGCTGACAGATGTGTTAGTACTTGTGCTTTGGCTCGAGAGCAACTTCAGATATTTATTTATTTAAACGAGACACACACCACGTGTGCTGCCCTCTTTGTCTTTACACTGCCGGGTGGGAGTTATTTGACCATACTTCACCACGCTGGTCGGTGCGGGTTGGTAGAGTCGGGGAGCACACACGTGGGGGGGGGGGGGGGGGGGGGGGGGCGCAGGGCAATCCCCACTGTGCGGACCTCCCGATGCCTTCAAACTAAACCGGAAGTATTATATCTGACACCGTAACGTCAAAATGCGTTGCCCCCCCCCCCTAAAGCACGGGGGCCCGGGGCGGTCGCCCCGATTCGTTGTACTCTCGAGACGGCTCTGCATAGAGAGACAGCATTTGAGATGTTTCTGCACTACCCTCTCTGCTGCCTAAGGGAAACATGGCGCAAGGAGAAACAATGCCAACGAGAGTCGGCACACGAGACCAGAACAGAAACAGCGATTCTAAAATCAGATTGTGACGATTCGATTCCTTATTCCCCTAGGACTGCATGATGGGGAGAGGGCGGGAGGCGCTGTCCGTGGTACTGAATGATCTGGGAGGCGATGTCCGTCGTACTGAATGATTGGGGGGCGCTGTCCGTGGTGCTGAATGTTTGGGCGCTGTCCGTGGTGCTGAATGATAGGGTGGGGGGGGGGGGGCGCTGTTTATGGTTCTGAATGATGAGGTGCGCTGTCCCTGTTGCTCATCGCCTCTTCCTGAATCTAGGCCCAAAACGCCATGCGGCCAGCAACAAGTACCATTATTTTCGTTGTCAGATTATATTGCAATGAACACGTTTGTTTGAGCACCAGCGTTATTACTGTCATATTTTGGGGAAAAGAGACGTATATGTTGAACTTCTTTCGCACCGTACGTAACCAACCATGCTAATAGGAGGTGTGGTGGAAGGGCAACAAACCAAACAAAAAAGACGACGATAATGGGAGGAGGGAATTCCACAGTGGAGCAGTGCGAGTAAAGAAGCAGAACCCGGAGTGTTGTGATGAGCAGTGTGGTGAGTGGATGAGTGTGTTCAGTAACCTGTAAGTGTGGTGAGTGGATGGGTGTGTGAGTAGGCGGCTGAGTGGGTGTGTGAGTAGGCGGCTAAGTGGGTGAGTATGTTGTTGTTGTAACCTGCAGTCTGCTGAGTGAGTAAGTAGGTGGCTGAGTGGGTGAGTGAGTAGGTGGCTGAGTGGGTGAGTGAGTAGGTGGCTGTGTGGGTGAGTGAGTAGGTGGCTGAGTGGGTGAGTGAGTAGGTGGCTGAGTGGGTGAGTATGTTGTTGTTATAACCTGCAGTTTGCTGGTTTAACGCAGTGTGAACGACACAACACAGATAATGTGTTGTAACGGGGGGGGTAAAAAAGGCAGGAGGATGTTGTGGTGGAGGGGGCGGGGTAGAAGAGACTGAGGGATGGGGGAGGGGGGGCTTAATGAACTATGGTGCCCCCCACCTTCCCCTCTCCACCGCGCGACGTTTAATTAAGCAGTGCAGTAATTGCCGGATGAAACAGAGGAGGAATCTCTGCATCGACTGCAGCAGCCCACACGTGTTTTAAACAAGCGACGACCCTCCCTTCTCCTGCCCCCCTCCTCCATCGCCTGCTCCCCCTCCTCCATCGCCTGCTCCCTCCTCCCTCTCCTCCCTCTTGGCTCTGCTTCACCCCCCACCCCGACCCACCCCTGCCAGCCCCGCCTGTGCGTCCTGGGAGGCCACAAAACTTCTAGAACGCAGAAAATCTGGTCCACGTCGACGTGGTTCTCGCTGAAGCGACTCGCAGGCGGCGACGTAGCTACGGCGTGAAGAGTGGGCAGGCGGTGCAACTGCGCCATGCCTCTTGGGCCGAATGTAGCCCAGGCGCCGGGCTACAAAAAGAGAGAGAGAGGGGGGTAGAGGGAGGACTTGAACGTTCCATTCCTTGGCTGCCACTCCGTTATTATTCTCGACCATCAAACCCCTAGCCAAGTCGTGCTCTGCTCAAGCCACCCTTCTCGGCACAGCGTCAGTCGCTGCGCATGCCCCCTCGTCCACGTCTGCCTCTTAAGTGTCACCCCCTCGCCTCGCATTCTCCTTCCCCTCAAACCCCCCTCCCTCCACACCCCCCCCCCCGCCCCGCCCCCCTCCTTGCACGAGTCAAAAATGAGGAGCTGCGCGGAGTTGGTCACCGTTAATGGAGGCGCCGTGTCCCGTGACTCCTCTGGGGTCACGTGTGAGTGAGCGAGCGAGTACACGCGAGCGAGTGAGTGCGTACACACCGTGTCCATCCTTGACCTCTGCCCTCCCCCGCACGCCCTTCGAGTACCTGATCCTTGCGACCATCATCGCCAACTGCCTGGTGCTCGCGCTGGAGCAGCACCTCCCCGCGGGGGACAAGACCCCCCTCTCGGACCAGCTGGTGCCCCACCTACACCCCCACACACACACACGTCTACACTTGCACACCACAAAGACCACCCTACCTAGCCTCGAAACGGCTGTTGGGGCAAGTGTTGTTGGCGAGTAGCATCGCATATGAAGGCCGGCACGCCGCACAACGATGGGGGTGGGTGGGGCAGCATCACGCCCTGCCGTCTTTGTCTCACTAATGTTGACGCTTTACACAGAGCATCAGATTGTAATGTTTAAGGCCGTGAGTGGAAATCGAACTCGGGTTGCGCCTGGTTCACAGTCCACTGCGCTGACCAAGGCGTGACCTATTTACACACCTTTACAAGCCAATATACTGTAAACTGGAAATACTATATACACTCCGACACACCCATATACCCCTATACACACCCATACAAACCTATAGACGCATACACCCCTATAAACCACGAGCCCTCCATACACACCTATGTACCGACTCAACAGGCTGTAGGAACAAGCGCTGTTCGCGATCAGCACCTATGAAGGCTGCTGCACGACACCCGAGGTGTTGGGTGGCTATCACCGCCCCTCTGTCTACTCCCCTACACAGCCGTACACCCCAGACTTACATATACACACCCCGAATACATCGCGTATACACTGGGGCACATATACACACCCTACATAGACAACGATCTCGTGTACAGCCTGACCACTCGTCCACGCACACGTGCCAATCGCTGCAGCACCGCTCCGCTACAAGTGAGCCTCTCTCCCTCATCCCCTCGACCACGTGACCCCCACCCCCCACTGTGACCCCCCCCCCCCACGTGACCCCCACCCCCCACTCTGACCCCCCCACCGGCAGGATGTGACCGAGCCGTACTTTATCGGCATCTTCTGCTTCGAGTGCGGCATCAAGATCGTGGCGCTGGGGTTGGCGCTGCACCGCGGCTCTTACCTCCGCAACGGCTGGAACGTCATGGACTTCGTGGTCGTCATCACGGGGTAAGGATTCCCAGGCTGCGGCGTGGATACCGTGCAGGAGACATTTCTATGGCTGTGAACGTGCAGGGGGAGGGTGGAGGGAGGCCACAAGCGGCGACAAGCCACTGGGGCAGACGGCAGGAGACGCGGCCCTTGCCGACACCACGCTCGCCGCTTCACGCGCGGCGCTCTGCCAGGCATCGCCCCCCCCCCCCCCCCCCCCCAGTGATTGACTAGATCTCTCTATCTCTTCTTTAAACGATGGCGCTCATCGACTTAAACGATGGCGCTGTTCTATTATTCATCTCGCCGCCGTCAATGTTCTTTCGTTGCCTACCTGCGGCCAACGCGGCGCGGCGGCTTTGATTGATTCGCCGTGAATGGTTGGGCGGGTGGGGGCGGGTGGGGGCGGGGGGGTGAAGGTACTGCCCCCCCTCCCCCCACCCGAGAGAACGCGAACACGACGAACGCGGGGAGATGGAGCGATGAATTCTGATCTCGCGTGAGACGTGGCTCGGGCGGATTGTTGCGTCGTAGGGGGGACTTCATCCAGCAGTGGATTGACCATGGCTGCTGATTATTGTAAAATGTATCGAGCAAACATTGAGTACTTGGATACTCGCAGACTGGAATCGTAAGCAGGAGTCCCTAAGACTGCTGTTCATAGATTATTACAAACTGGCACCTCGCGTGCACGGGACGTTGTGGTGGTGGTGGTCATGGTGGTGACAGTGAATGACGATGACCGTCAGGATAACAATGACGACGATGACGGTGTTGCTGCATCGTAACGATGCCGGGGTTATGGTGACTGGGCCGTGTGACTGGGCTGGGCCGGGTGACTGGGCAGGGCCGGGTGACTGGGCTGGGCCGGGTGACTGGGCTGGGCCGGGTGACTGGACAGGGCCGGGTGACTGGGCTGGGCCGGGTGACTGGGCTGGGCCATGTGACTGGGCTGGGCCATGTGACTGGGCAGGGCCGGGTGACTGGGCTGGGCCGGGTGACTGGGCTGGGCCGGGTGACTGGACAGGGCCGGGTGACTGGGCTGGGCCGGGTGACTGGGCTGGGCCATGTGACTGGGCTGGGCCATGTGACTGGGCTGGGCCATGTGACTGGGCTGGGCCATGTGACTGGGCAGGGCCGGATGACTGGACAGGGCCGGGTGACTGGGTTGGGCCGGGTGACTGGGCTGGGCCGGGTGACTGGACAGGGCCGGGTGACTGGCCAGGGCCGGGTGATTGGGCTGGGCCGGGTGACTGGTCAGGGCCGGGTGACTGGGTTGGGCCGGGTGACTGGGCAGGGCCGGGTGACTGGGCTGGGCCGGGTGACTGGGCTGGGCCGGGTGACTGGGCAGGGCCGGGTGACTGGGCAGGGCCGGGTGACTGGGTTGGGCCGGGTGACTGGGTTGGGCCGGGTGACTGGGTTGGGCCGGGTGACTGGGCAGGGCCGGGTGACTGGGCTGGGCCGGGTGACTGCGCTCTGCCGGGTGACTGGTCAGGGCCGGGTGACTGGGCAGGGGGCACGGCTCCGCTGTTGCAGCAGAGCGCGTGTCGCGCTGCTCATTAAAGCGTCGTTCTGTTCAATCTCCCCGCATCGCGTCGCGCCGCGACATCAATCACGCGACACGGGGAGAGGCGGGGCCGAGGGGTGGTGAGGGGCGGGGCCGAGGGGTATTGAGGGGGGGGGGGGGTCCATTCACGAGCTGCGCCTGCTTGGTTGGGAGACCGTTGGGGGTAGGGGGTGTGTCTGTGTGTGTGTGTATGTGTGTATGTTATGGTGTGTCTGTGTGTGTGTGTATGTTATGGTGTGTCTGTGTGTGTATGTTATGGTGTGTCTGTGTGTCTGTGTGTGTGTTATGGTGTGTCAGTGTGTCTGTGTGTGTGTTATGGTGTGTCATTGTGTCAGTGTGTGTGTTATGGTGTGTTAGTGTGTCAGTGTGTATGTTATGGTGTGTCAGTGTGTCTGTGTGTATGTTATGGTGTGTCAGTGTGTCTGTGTGTATGTTATGATGTGTCAGTGTGTCTGTGTGTATGTTATGATGTGTCAGTGTGTTGTGTGTATGTTATGGTGTGTCAGTGTGTGTGTGTGTGTATGTTATGGTGTGTCAGTGTGTCTGTGTGTGTGTTATGGTGTGTCAGTGTGTCAGTGTGTGTGTTATGGTGTGTCAGTGTGTCAGTGTGTATGTTATGGTGTGTCAGTGTGTCAGTGTGTATGTTATGGTGTGTCAGTGTGTCTGTGTGTATGTTATGGTGTGTCAGTGTGTCAGTGTGTGTGTTATGGTGTGTCTGTGTGTATGTTATGGTGTGTGTGTGTGTGTTATGGTGTGTCAGTGTGTCTGTGTGTATGTTATGGTGTGTCTGTGTGTATGTTATGGTGTGTCAGTGTGTGTGTGTGTGTGTTATGGTGTGTCAGTGTGTCTGTATTATGGTGTGTCAGTGTGTCAGTGTGTCTGTTATGGTGTGTCAGTGTGTGTGTGTGTATGTTATGGTGTGTCAGTGTGTCAGTGTGTGTGTGTTATGGTGTGTCTGTGTGTTTGTGTGTATGTTATGGTGTGTCTGTGTGTCTGTGTGTGTGTTATGGTGTGTCAGTGTGTCTGTGTGTGTGTTATGGTGTGTCAGTGTGTCTGTGTGTATGTTATGGTGTGTCAGTGTGTGTGTGTGTATGTTATGGTGTGTCAGTGTGTCTGTGTGTATGTTATGGTGTGTCTGTGTGTGTATGTGTGTCTGTGTGTATGTTATGGTGTGTCAGTGTGTGTGTGTGTTATGGTGTGTCAGTGTGTCAGTGTGTATGTTATGGTGTGTCTGTGTGTGTGTTATGGTGTGTCAGTGTGTGTGTGTTATGGTGTGTCAGTGTGTGTGTGTTATGGTGTGTCAGTGTGTGTGTGTTATGGTGTGTCAGTGTGTCAGTGTGTATGTTATGGTGTGTCTGTGTGTGTGTTATGGTGTGTCAGTGTGTGTGTGTTATGGTGTGTCAGTGTGTCTGTGTGTATGTTATGGTGTGTCAGTGTGTCTGTGTGTGTCTGTGTGTATGTTTTGGTGTGTCAGTGTGTGTGTGTGTATGTTATGGTGTGTCAGTGTGTCTGTGTGTATGTTATGGTGTGTCTGTTATGGTGTGTCTGTGTGTGTGTTATGGTGTGTGTGTGTGTCTGTGTGTATGTTATGGTGTGTCAGTGTGTCTGTGTGTATGTTATGGTGTGTCAGTGTGTCTGTGTGTATGTTATGGTGTGTGTGTGTGTGTGTTATGGTGTGTCAATGTGTCTGTGTGTATGTTATGGTGTGTCTGTGTGTATGTTATGGTGTGTCAGTGTGTGTGTGTGTGTTATGGTGTGTCAGTGTGTGTGTGTTATGGTGTGTCAGTGTGTCAGTGTGTCTGTTATGGTGTGTCAGTGTGTGTGTGTGTATGTTATGGTGTGTCAGTGTGTCAGTGTGTGTGTGTTATGGTGTGTCTGTGTGTCTGTGTGTATGTTATGGTGTGTCTGTGTGTGTGTTATGGTGTGTCAGTGTGTCTGTGTGTGTGTTATGGTGTGTCAGTGTGTCTGTGTGTATGTTATGGTGTGTCAGTGTGTGTGTGTGTATGTTATGGTGTGTCAGTGTGTCTGTGTGTATGTTATGGTGTGTCTGTGTGTATGTTATGGTGTGTCAGTGTGTGTGTGTGTGTATGTTATGGTGTGTCAGTGTGTCTGTGTGTATGTTATGGTGTGTCTGTGTGTGTATGTGTGTCTGTGTGTCTTTGTGTATGTTATGGTGTGTCAGTGTGTGTGTGTGTTATGGTGTGTCAGTGTGTCAGTGTGTATGTTATAGTGTGTCTGTGTGTGTGTTATGGTGTGTCAGTGTGTATGTGTGTATGTTATGGTGTGTCTGTGTGTCTGTGTGTTATGGTGTGTCTGTGTGTCTGTTATGGTGTGTCAGTGTGTGTGTGTGTTATGGTGTGTCAGTGTGTCTGTGTGTATGTTATGGTGTGTCAGTGTGTGTGTGTGTTATGGTGTGTCAGTGTGTGTGTGTGTGTCTTATGGTGTGTCAGTGTGTGTGTGTGTGTGTTATGGTGTGTCAGTGTGTGTGTTATGGTGTGTCTGTGTGTGTGTGTTATGATGTGTCTGTGTGTGTATGTTATGGTGTGTCAGTGTGTGTGTGTTATGGTGTGTCTGTGTGTATGTTGTGGTGTGTCAGTGTGTGTGCTATGATGTGTCAGTGTGTCAGTGTGTCTGTTATGGTGTGTCAGTGTGTGTGTTATGATGTGTCAGTGTGTCAGTGTGTATGTTATGGTGTGTCAGTGTGTCTGTGTGTGTGTTATGGTGTGTCAGTGTGTGTGTGTATGTTATGGTGTGTCAGTGTGTGTGTTATGGTGTGTCTGTGTGTGTGTTATGGTGTGTCCGTGTGTGTGTTATGGTGTGTCAGTGTGTCTGTGTATGTTATGGTGTGTCAGTGTGTCTGTGTGTGTGTTATGGTGTGTCTGTGTGTCTGTGTGTATGTTATGGTGTGTCAGTGTGTCTGTGTATGTTATGGTGTGTCAGTGTGTCTGTGTGTATGTTATGGTGTGTCTGTGTGTATGTTATGATGTGTCAGTGTGTGTGTGTTATGGTGTGTCAGTGTGTGTGTGTTATGGTGTGTCAGTGTGTGTGTGTTATGGTGTGTCAGTGTGTGTGTGTTATGTTGTGTCAGTGTGTGTGTTATGGTGTGTCAGTGTGTATGTTATGATGTGTCAGTGTGTGTGTTATGGTGTGTCAGTGTGTGTATGTTATGGTGTGTCAGTGTGTGTGTTATGGTGTGTCAGTGTGTCTGTTATGGTGTGTCAGTGTGTCTGTGTGTATGTTATGGTGTGTCTGTGTGTATGTTATGGTGTGTTATGGTGTGTCAGTGTGTCTGTTATGGTGTGTCAGTGTGTATGTTATGGTGTGTCAGTGTGTGTGTGTTATGGTGTGTCTGTGTGTGTGTTATGGTGTGTCTGTGTGTGTGTTATGGTGTGTCAGTGTGTCTGTTATGGTGTGTCAGTGTGTATGTTATGGTGTGTCAGTGTGTGTGTGT